GAAAGGAAGGAAGGAAATCAGATCCGTAGAGCTCAGGTACCGAAGTGTTTACTTCGCAATCGCTAGGAACTGAGATGGGTGTCCAGAAACCAAGTACGCCCTCAGACAGTAATCCTGGGTGCACCAGCCAGGAGCCCGGCCTTCTTGGTGAGCACCAGCCAATGGGAGACTAACCCGGAGGAGGCCGCCAGTGTGTCTGTGGAAGACAAGGCAGGTTGTCCACGAACCTCCATGCACACACTCAGACATACACCCCTGCACACACAGGAACATACACACTCGAGGACAAAATGATCAGACGTGCAGAAGAACAGGGAAGAAGGCCTTCTGCGGTTGCTGTGGATTTCACAATTGTTTCTCCTCGTACTTCCTGCCTGTACGCTGAGAACAGCTCTTTCCCAATCCGCTCCGACCCCTGTCCTTGTTTTGCTGACGCCAACACTTCTGTGGACACCATCACTGGATCCATCTTTCTGGGTACTACGATTTCTTTAAAAGTTGCAGAAAGGGGTTTGGAGAGATGGCTCAGCACTTAAGAGCAGAGGAGCCAGGTTTGCTACCCAGGTGGCACCTGTCACTGTAGTTCTAGGAGAGCTGGTGTCCTCCTCTGACCTCTTTGGGCACTGCACACACGAGAACAAAACATTTGAGAGTCAAGTCAGTCAAATGTAGAGAATATGATGTAGGGGCTGGAGAGAGGCTCAGAGGTGAAGAGCCCTGTCTGCTCTTCCAGAGGTCCTGAGTTCGATTCTCAGCAACCACATGGTGGCTCACAACCGGCTATAGTGAGATCTGGTGCCCTCTTCTGGCGAGCAGGCACAAATGCGGACAGAACACTATACATTAATAAAATAATAATAAGAGAATTCGATGTAACTGTGAAGTTGTCTAAACCACACGAGGACGGCTGCTCATGCCGACGTGGACACGGTGATTTGCGCAGAAGGCACTAGGAAAAGGCTTCTGCCGCCACCACTGCCACCACCAGACACCTCTGCTGCAGACCTCACCAGAGAGTGGGTCGGGTTCCTCACAGGCTGAATCCAAAACTGAGGTCTTTTTATGAGCGTGCCTGATGGGCAAAGTGGAGGTCATGCGTCCAAGCCTGGACTGCAATGGGGTTTTAGAGATAAGAGTTTTGACCTCCAGGTTTTTCTATCTCCCCCTTCTTTCATAAGATTCCCTTCACTCTGCCCAGAGTTTGTCTATGAGTCTCAGCGTCTGCTTTGATACACTGCTGGGTAGAGTCTTTTAGAGGTCCTCTGTGGTAGGCTCCTGTCCTGTTCTCAGTTTTTTTTTTCCTCTTCTGATGTCCACCCCATTTGCCTTTCTGAATGAGGATTGAATATCTTACTCAGGGTCCTCCTTCTTGATTAGCTTCTTTAAGTGTACAGATTTTAGTATGTTTATTCTATATTATATGTATAATATCCATTTAGCTCCAGGAGAGCAACAGAACCAAAAAAATCTGGGCCCAGGAGTCTTTTCTGAGTCTGATACTCCAACCAAGGACCATACATGGAGATAATCTAGAACCCCTGCACAGATATAGCCCATGGCAGCTCAGTGTCCAAGTGGATTCCCTAGAAAGGGGAGCAGGGACTGTCTCTGACATGAACTCAGTGGCTGTCTCTTTGATCACCTCCCTCTGATGGGGGAGCAGCCTTGTTGAGTTTTGACCTCAACATGGAAGAGTAAAATTTGTAATGTGGGCAATTCTCCAGACGGGGTGGGGGGTGGGGCATGAGGATCGGGAATTCATGGCCAGACTCCTCTATAGCATGGTCAAGGAGAGTCTGGGCTACAGAAGATTCTGTCTGAAGACACAAAAAAGAGGCAGAAAGATGGTGGTTATAGGAGCATGCACAGCTCCTGTGCAGGGCTTAAATTCAGTTCCCAGGACCCATGTCAGGCAGATACTGGCCACCTATAACTTCAACTCCAGGGGATTTGATGCCCTTTCTGGCCTCCGAGGATACCTGGACTTGTGTGAATATACACACAGAGATACCCACATATATTTAGTTAAATCTTTAAGAAAGAAAAATATATTCACATTTAAGTGTGATAGTTTAGATGTCATCATAGTTTGTACTTGTATTTCTTTATCATAGCTCTTTAAAAAATATACACACTGGGGAAAGGGTGTGTGAAGGGGGACTGGGAAGAGAGGAGAGGGGCTGCAATCAGGACGTAAAGTTAATAAATAAATAAATTAAGAAATATATATACAGGAGGGTCCACAAGATGGCTTAGCAGGCAAAGGCATTCACCGCCAAGCCTGAATTCAGTCCCTAGAACATACAGGGTTATAGGAGAGGGTCTTCAAGTTATCCTCTGACCTCCACAGGCACACTATGACACAGGTTCACCCACCACACACACACACACACACACACACACACGCACACACACACGTACAAAAGGATAAACACTTGAGACATTTTCGTGTTGCATACTAAAAACATTACATATGATCTATAGGAATCATGTCAAGGCAATCTGGGTAATGAGATTACTTATGAAACAACTTATACGGTTTCAGAATATGCGTTACCTCACTGCTTTCTTATTGTACATTTCGAGGACACGGCCTCATGTAACCCAGGCTGGCCAGAGACCAGCAATGTTAGAGCTAGCCTTGAGCTTCTGAGCTTCTTGTCTCTGCCTCTGAAACGCTGGGATTAAGAGGCATGCCGTACCATCTCTGGCCATATGTTTTATACGTTTGCATCTTTTTATAAACAAAAGGGTTTTATTTCTTATTTTTTGAAACAGGCCATCCCAAAATTCACTATATAGCTCAGGATGACATCAGCCACTCTTGTGTCAATCCCACTGCTGAGCCTCCTGTGAGCCATCACATACATGGTTTGTTTTTATGCTTATGTTGGCGGTGGGTCTGATGTTAATTACTTGCCCTCTGTGTGGACCTGCTTAGTCAGGATACCTCATTGGCTAATTAAACAGCCTATACCTGGGCAGGGAAGAATGGGGCAGGCATGGCTATGGTTTCGGGGCTTTGTAGAATTCCACAAGGAATCACAGGAAAGAGACAGAAGGGAAGAGAGGAAGGAGGACACCAGGATGGGTTAGCCTGGAAGAACTCCAATAATGGCGTGGAAAGGGCCAGATGGAGCATATAAGCAAGTACCATGGGAAAATGGATGGAAGGTGGACCAGATTAGGAGGATTAAGGTGGATGGCATTGGATGGGGGCTAGGAGATGGAGGGTGAGGATACTGAGACAGTGTAGGTGAAATATCTGCCCAGCCCAAGGTAACTAAGGCAATTATAAATCTAACAGGTGTCTGTGTCTCATTATTCATGATAGCGGGTTAGATAATACTGCTGAGATAATCTTAGGGTTAATAAACATCTCAGAGCCCAACAGCTTTTTAAAAACACAACATACTTACTTATTTTTATTCTGCATATATGTGTGAGTACCTCATGTGTGTCTGTGCATCAGGCACAGACCTGGTGTCTGAGGAGACCAGAGGGAGCATTGGATCCCCGGAACTGAAATTCCAGATGGTTGTGAGTCACCCTGTGGGTCCTGGAAACCAAAGCTGGGGCCTCTACGAAGGCAGCCAGTGCTCTGCGTCACTGAGCCATCTCTCCAGCCCTGTTTGTTTTGAAACAGTCTCGTGTGTCTTCGGTTGGCCTTGAACTCCTGATCTTCCTGCCTCTAATTCTGGAATTACAGACATAAACCACTATGCCTGGCCTAATGAAAATGTCCTATTTTAACATTTTAAATTTTCAATAGAAGAAAAGAAGTGTAAGCAAAATAAGTATAAGCAAAGTTAAAAGACCAAGGGCTAGCCGAGAGAAGGCAGGTTAAGAATACTGCATTCCAAAGATCACTAGCCAGAGCATAGTGAAGACAGCCCCCGCAGAGCATTACGGAAAGCAGTAAGTACATGAGGAAAAGGAGCAGAACACCTGAAAACGCGATTCTCAGACAACTATGGCCAAGCTGGGCATGGTTAATCCCAGCAGAGGCAGAGGCAGGTTGATCACTGTCAGTGAGCCCAGGACAGCCAAGGCCACAAAGAAACCCTGTCTCAAAAAAAAAAAAAAAAAAAAAAAACAAAAAAAAAAAAAAAAAATAAAAAAAAAAAAAAAAAAAAAAAAACTAACTCAGTGGTCAAAAATGTGGGAGAGGTCCCCATTTTTATTAGTGGTTAATAAAAATGGAAATTTAAAAAAAATAATAGTTCGTTGGTCGTAATGGCACACACCTTTAATTCCAGCGCTCGGGGAGGCAGAGGCAAGCGGATTGCTGTGAGTTCGAGGCCAGCCTGGTCTACACAGTGATCTGAGACAGCCAGGGCTACACAGAGAAACCTTGTCTTGAAACACCAACAACAAAATAATAGTTTGTCTTACTCTGGCTGTGCCTGCCTGACCACAGTAGCACCTGGGTGTATATTCTGGTGTGGGTAAGCGTCTACGTGTGTGCACATGTGTGTATATCTGTGTGGTGTTAACTGTGTGTGTAACTGTATGTGTGTGCACGTGTGTGTTTGTGTGCAGGTGTGTTTGTGTGCATAACTATTTGAAATAACTGTGTGATAATTGCATCTGTGGATAACTGTGCTTGTGTGCTTATAACTGTGTGTATAAGTGTATTGTACAACTGTCTGTGGGGGGGGGGATAATTTGAACTAATATAAAGGCCCTTCTGAAAGGCCTAGGGCACAGAGGGCCAAACAGGACTTGTGTTACCTAGGAAATTGTGAGAGGAGCTGAGATTTGAGGAGCCCGATCCCAGTGTCTTTATAGCTAAACTTTTCCATCTCAAAACTGATGCTATGAATAAAATGGGTCACCCGAATGGCGCAGGGTTGAGGGGTAACCTTGTCCTGCTCTCATCTGGGGTCATTCTGTTGATGGCCTCCACCCGGGAGCCCTCCGGGCCGCTCACCACACCCACTGGTCCCAAGCTGAGGAGAGAGAAGGCTGGAGGCAGCAGCTCGCTCTAAATGAAACCGAAATGAGAGCTCACTTCCTCATTGTGGACGCTGCTGCGTGTGGCAAGCTCTTTTTAAAGTCAGTCCAGCTCGCCTCCCGCTGCCTGGAGCATCTCTGGAGTGAGAGCCACACTTGAGGGAGACCATGGGGACCCCTGCTCACGCTGCCGTGTAGGTACCGTCCGCTTTTCCGCATTTGCTTTGTCCGTGCGTGGCCTTACACATCCTGTCCTCAGCCGGCTGGCCAGGTTTTTAAATCTTTGCTTTCAGGAAGTGAGCTGAACGCCAAGATCATGCTGCCCGGCTCGCCTCTTGTTTTCTGATCAGAAGGAGCCTGTCTGAGAGATCTCTGTGGGCTGAAGGCTGGGTCTCCGCCGACCACGATCTGGAGGCTCGCACAGCCCAAACCTCAGCTGTTCTCAAACAGATCCGGTTCCGGGCGACTTCTGATTTTCTGTTCAGTACCAAGGGGGTGGGCGTCGGCGTGTGGCGTGGAGACTGGCCTCACCTGGGGCTGGGAGGGCAGGCCGGCCGCAGAGCCCCGGCGCTGCTCCCTGAGATCTCGGGCGAGGCCCACCGCCCTGGCTATCTAAAGGCCGCTGAAGGTCTTAGCAGAAGCTCGCCAGCGTGGTTGCCTGTGTGGACTTTGGTGTTCAAGGTCAGATCCAGGGTCACCCGGGCCAGGCAAGACCTACACTGCGGAGCTCCGGCTCCGCCCTGCTTGTTTATTTTGGAGATCTGCTGTGTCTGTGTTGACCAAGCAGGCCTGAACTCCCGCATTCACCCGGTCCTCCTGCCTCAGCGTCCAAGGTCTTCGTAGGCGGCTGCTGCTGTGCCTGGCTTATTTTTAAAACGAAGTCTTAACTGATAATAAGAAACGAGAGCAATTATACGTATCAGTGAGGTACTAGGTGCTGGGACAGCGCTGTGGTGATTGAAATACTTAAACGGCCACTGAAGACAGAGGCCTCCTAAGGAGGAGGTCTTTAAAATAGGAGGAAGGAGAATTTTTCTTGAGTAGATTTGTTGGAAAATCCTGGAAAGTCTTTGATTTGAACTCTTTAAGTGTGTTTGCTTTGGAAAATTCTCTCTCTCTCTTTTTAAGCTTTATTTCATGTAGATGGATGTTTTGACAGTATGTTTATGTTGGCGCCAAATGCATGCAGTGCCCGTGGAGGCGGAAAGAGGGCGACAGCTCACCCTGGAACTAGGGCTGCAGAAGGTTCAGAGCTGTGCTGTGGGGGCGGGGAATCAAACCCAGGTCCTCCGGAAGAGCCGCCTCCTAACCACGGAGCCATTTCCGCAGCCCCATTTGGAAAACTTCTGGAGATATTTTCTCTTTATTTGTTATTATTATATTTTTATTTATGATTTATTACTTGTTTATTTGACAAGTGTCTCTCTACATAGCCCTGGCTGTCCTGGAACCCACTAGGTAGAGTGAACTCTCAGAGATCCACCTGCCTCTGCCTCCCGAGCGATTGAAGGCGTGCACCACTGCCAAGCCAAAGATCCCTTCCTAAAGTTAAAATGGTATTTTGGGTACTAGCTTCGGCAGCACACATATAAAATTGGAAGGATTCAAGGAAGATCATCACGGCCCCTATTGCAACTATGACACACACATTTGTGAAGCGTTCCTTTTTTTTTTTTTTTTTTTTTAATAATATTTTGGACATAATTCCTTCTTCATCCTGAACCCCCCAGAAAGTTACCTGTGTTGCTCTAACTTGTGAGAGTGTGTTTTTTGGAAGATGTTGCATTGTTACTTTCTGTTTTGAGAGTATAGCACCCCTCCCCAACCCCCTTCACACTCACTCACACACATACACACATACATACACACACACACACTCACACACACCCATCCATAATGACCGTACATTCCTGGAGTCACAGCACTTGGGAATCGAGTCAGGCAGATGGCTACTAGTTCAAGGGTAGCCTGGGCTCTGTGGTGAGCTCCAGGACAGCCTGAGCTGCAGAGCGACCTATCTTTATGAATGAAAACAGAGGGGAGCTATATGATCGAGACCACACAGCTAACGCCTCTGCCTCCTCTGTTCCTGCCCCTTAAGCAGAATGAGATGGCTGTTTTGGGTGCCCCTGGTGTGCTCCCTGGCGATGGAGCAGCTGCAGAGAGACCCTGCCCTGGACCACCACTGGCAGCTCTGGAAGAAAGCCCATAAGAAAGAATACAAGGACCAGGTAGATGCGGTCGCCGCTGGAACAGCGAGCTTTCGCTGCGTTTTCTCTATCCCCAAATGATAACTGGACGAGCAGTGTTTTCTAGAAGTTCTGTGCGCTTATTACTGTCCAGATACTGCTTTGAGTAGAAACAAAGCTTATTCTTAGGGCTGCAGAGCTCAGGCTACGCTGTGAGAACCAGGGATAGTGTCAGAGAAAACAGGTGAAGCGAGGCAAGGGCAACAGGGAGACCCGGAAGATGGTGGCGACACATCCCGGGGACGGGGTGGGAGGGTGAGGGAGAGCACAGAAAATAAGGCGACATCAGAGCAGGGGACTGATAGAAACAGGGCAACAGGCAAAATGGGCGGAGGGAGGGAACGCCCCGAGCGGGAGCCGAGTGCGGCCTCAGAGGAAAGACCATGCTTGTCACGTTTGAGGAACAGAAAGTCTTGGCTGTGAAGGCAGCTCGGCGGGTACAGTGCTTGCCATCCGTATGAGGAAGTGAGTTCAGACTGTAGAGCCCATGACGACAGGGTCCTCCTAACTTGAGGTGGAGAAACAGTGCGTGAGCCACCCAGCCCGGCGCAGGCAGGCCCAACAGGAGACCCTGTTTCAAAGTTCGGAAGATGAAGGCCTCAGACCTCCACACGGACTCTGTGACATGCTAACACCAGTGCTCACACCAATACACTCACCACTCTCTCAATCTCTCTCTCTCTCTCACACACACACACACAAATAAACATTTAAAAAACCCGGATGGATGAGTGTTTTGCCAGTATGCATGTCTCCGCACCGTGTGTGCAGTTCCTTCTAAGGACAGAAGAGGGCATTAGATCCTCCGGAACAGGACTTCCAGGCAGTTTTGCTGCCAAGGGTGTGCTAGGAATCAAACCTGGATCCTCTGTAAGAGCAACCAGTGCTCTCAACTTCTGAGCTATTCTTCCAGCCCAGCCTTTTTTCCAATTCATTATTTTTATTGTATGTGTATGAGTGTTCTACCTGCATGTATGTAGGTTCATACATGCATGTTGGAGGCCAGAAGAGGGCATCGTCTCCCCTAAAACTGAAGTTATGGGTAGTTGTGCGCTACCCTGCGGGTGCTGTGAACCAAGCCTGGGTCCTCTGCGAGAGCAACAGGGGCCCTTAACCGCTGAGCCAGCTCTCTAGCCCCCCAATTAAAAAATAAAAATTTAAGCCTGGCATGGCGGTGCACGCCTGTAATCCCAGCACTCAGGGAAGCAGAAACAGGTGGACCTCTGTGAGTTCGAGGCCAGCCTGGTCTATAAAGTAAGTCCAGGACAGGCAAAGCTACACAGAGAAACCCAGTCTCAAAAGAAAAGAAAAGAAACAAACAAATTTTATTTTTAAGTATGTGTGTGTATGTGCACATGAGAGCAGGTGCCTAGAGGCCTGAGGCATTGGATCCCCAGGAGCTGAAGTTACATTGTGAGCTGAAGTTGGTTGTGAGCTGACTGGTTTGGGAGCTGGGACCAAGCCTGTGGCCTCTGGAAGAGCAGCAAGTACTCTTACCCATTGATCTAGTTCTCCATTTGCATAAGTAATATTTTAAAATATCATTACAGTCTCTGACCCACAGAAGTGCTTCAAGATAGGATTTGGGGTTGTTTGTTTCAGGACAGGGTTTCTATATGTAACAGCTCTGGCTGATCTGGAACTATATCTGTAGACCAGACTGGCCTGGAACTCACGGAGATCCGCCTGCCTCTGTCTCCTAAGTGCTGGGATTAAAGCATGGGTCATCATGCCCAGCTCTAGAAAGCTGTTCTTGTTTATTCTGCCTGCATGTGCACCTGCTCGCCAGCAGAGAGCGCCGGATCTCATTATAGATGGTTGGAAGCCATCATGTGGTTGCTGGGAATTGAACTCAGAACCTCTGGAAGAACAGCCAGGGCTCTTCTGAGCCATCTCTATAGCCCTCGATAGTGATTCTTGACTCTCTTTTCTGCCTCTGTTCTTCGGCTTTTCTTTCAAAGCATACTTGTTGATTGATCTTGAAATGTTAACCATAACTTCAAGCAAGTAGGTCCCATAACTATCTAATATTATATAGCAAATTAGCAAACTAAATTGAATATACAGTAGTTCACCATTAGTCCCAACTACCATGCTGTAGGACAGGCTCCTCCTGCCTGAGGCTCCACGTCCTTTGAGCATCATCTGTAAATCACCCTTCCTCCCGCCTCCGCTGCCTTCATTCCACTTCCTGCTTCTAAGAGTGTGGCTTTCTTATTTTATAAGTTTATCCATTTGTTTATTGGTGCTGTGGATGGAATCGAGGGCCTCAAGCGTGTGAAGCGAATGCCCTCTACCCATTGCTGCGGTCCAGGTGAATTAGATGTTTGTTTGCAAACATCAGTGAGCTCCTGCGGCTAAGGGAGTTTCTGTGCCTGGATTATTTGGCAGAACACGCTCAGATTCGGCTGTCTTTCTGTGTACGACAGAACCCCTCTTTTTAAAAGGCTAAAAGGCGTTAGACTGTGTATGTCCACCGCATTTTCTTTGTCTCTTCATCTGTGATAGTGCTCATAGGTTGATTTCGTGTCTCTGCCATTGTGAATGGCGCTGTAATAAACAGGGGGGGTCAGTCTGTCTCTCATGTCTTGATTTCCTTTCCTTTAGTTACACACCCTGAAATGGGGTGGGCTGGGACATATGATAGGTCTATTTTCAGTTCACTGAAACATTTGTGTCTCGTTTCTTGTGTGTGTGTGTGTGTGTGTGTGTGTGTGTGTGTGCGCGCCACGAAGCCTATTCCTCCCGCTCTCTATGTATTAGGTTGTTATCTTTTTATTTACTTTTTGAAGCTTTACTTTATTTGTATTATGGCATGTGTCGATGTCTGTGTGTGAGCATGCATGGGCGCATGTGCGTACCAGCAGAGGCCAGGAGGGGGCGTTGCATCCCCTGCGGCTTGATTCTAAGCAGCTGTCAGCACCCACTGTCAGCTGGGACCTGAACCGGGCTCCTTTGCAAGAGGAGTGACTGCTCTTACCTGCTGGGCCATCTCTCAAACCCAGCTTGTTTGGGTTTTCTTTAAAATTTTATGTTTATTTTTTGTTTGTTTGCTTGGTTTTTGGTTGTGTTTTCTTTTGCTGTTTTTGAGACAGTCTCTCTCTCTCTAGACCTGGCTGCCCTCACTGTGCAGACCGGACTGGCCTGAGTTCACAGAGATCCCTCTGTCCCTGCCTCCCAGCTGCTGGGATCAAAGGCGTGCACCACCACAACAAGCTTATGTTTACTTTGTTGTTGTTGTTTATTTTCTATGTGTTCACACACGTGTGCTATAGCTGCTGTGAGACCCTCCGAAGACAGCTTGGGGGAGTTCTCATCTTCCACCATGTGGGTTCCCGGTCACACGCTTGGCTGAAGGTGGCTTTGCTGAGCCTCTCACCAGCCCTGTTTTTAATTCCTTAATCAGTTGTGAGTGATTCCTTTGTACCAGGTAAGGACTCAGTTTCATACTTCTGGACTCGGCCTGCGATTCTCACACTATTAGAGCAGTGAGGCTGTCCTTTCTATGTTTTTGTCATTTTTGTTAAAAATTGCCCGGCCAATTTCAGGGTTCCCTGTTGTGTTACACTCTGAGGCCTGTGAGCACTGGTCACTGCGGCCTTTTGAGATGAGGTGCTGCGATGCCTCCCCTTTTGTCTCTTCCTCTCACGGTCTGTTGGGAGTTTGAGGTTACTGTACCTCCACACACACTCTCAGGATTCTTTTTTTCTGTATTTGTGAAGAATGCTGTTGGAGTTTTGACAGGGATTACACTGAGTCTCTAGATTGTTCTGAATAGTTTTGGCTGTTTCAATGATCTAAGTTTTCCAATCCCTGGAGACAAGCAGTGTGTCACTCTGAATTTATTTCACCACAGTTTTATAGTTTTATAGTTTTTAGCATACAGCTGCCTCTCCAGATCTGCACACTTCACTTCCCCAGCTAACTTTATGCGTATTTTCTTTTTGCATGTGTGTGGGTACAGATGTATGTACAGGCATGGATGCTGGTGTGCACGTGTGTATATGTATAATGGCCCCCCTGGGCATTGAGAGCCCTCCTCAGCCATTCCCTACCATGTTTATCCGCTCTCAGTCTCTCAGCTGAACGCAGAGCTCACCGATCCACCTAGCCTAGGTAGGGAGCTGGCCCCAGGAATCCCTTGCCTGTGCCTCAGGATATTGGAGTTACTGACGTGCCCAGCAGTGTCCACACGGGTACTGGAGGGGGGAGCTCAGGTCTGAATGCATGCATGGCAAGTGCTTTATCCAGTGAGCCATCCGCCCAGCCCCCGAAGTGGTTTCTGTATAATTTTACAGGGGATTTTTTTCTTAATATCTTTTTCAAATTGTTTGTTATTCAAGTATACAAAATGCTACCAATTTTTGTAGGTTGGTGTTGTTTAAAGGAAAGAAAATCCCAACCATTTGACTTTACCAATAAAGACTCAGGATCCAGATGCTGGGGTGAAAACTTATCAGCTCAGAGAGGCAGAGAAAGTACCCAGCTGACCTTCTAACTCCCGTAAGGAAACAGCCATGCCTTGGAAAAAGCCAAAAGCCCCTTCTTCTCCACGCTATCTTAAATATCCTTCAACTCAGTGTCCTTCCTTTCTGTTAATCCCCGTCAGCTGATTTCTTGCTCCACCTCTTGACTTAGGGTTAACTTTATTAAATCCTGTGTACAGAAAGCTTTTGGGTTAAATCAGCTGTTTAGAAGACACAGAAAGTTCTCAGATTAAAGGTGTATGATAGGGCTCAACCACACCAAACCAGAAACAGGTTTTTACAGTTCACAGTCTCGGGGTTCACGATGAAATCAAATATCCCGCAACAGGTTGGTTTTCTATCCTGAGACTTCTGGGTTGGTTTATCAGTTTACAGTGGTTTACAGTGGGGTTCAAGTATGTGGGGGGGGGCACAGAGGCAGGATCTCTTGCTGCACCTGGAGCGCCCTAGCCATCCTTTCACTTCTGCCTCCCAGGGCTGGGGTTACAAGCCTGCGCCTTTGTGCTTCCCCTGGGGTACCCTGGATATGAAGCCAGATTCTCCGGCTTCGGCAGCAAGCCCTCATCGACTGAGCTGGCACCCCAGCTTAGGAAAACAACTTTTATTGAGTGTCCTACCTTAATATCTAATCTCTGAATTAACTTATTCTTTTTTTCCTTTCCTTCAGTTTTTTGTTTTTGTTTTGTTTTGTTTTTTTGGTAGATTTATTTTTATTTATTCCACTTTTCTCTTAGAGCTTGGGGTGTATTCAACGCCCATGTCCCTTACGTCCATCACTAGGAATAGAAAACTGCATGAAACGTGTGCATAGGGAGAGGGGCTGTGGCCAGACTGAGGCAGGGCAGACATTGCTAGCTGCTCACTGCGCCTGAGTCTGGCTCTGCTGACCTTCAAAGGCTTCAGCTAATGGAGGAAGTTCACTGTGTGCACTGTGTACATTATATTCTATGTGAATGCATCTCCAGGAGGACAAGGAAACTCACAGTCAATGTCATAATTTTGGATAATGTTGAAATAGCAGAACCCAGGCATGGTGGCACACACCTGTAATCACAGCACTGGGAGGGGTAGAGTCAGAGGAACAAGAGCGAGTCAGCCACAGTAAACATGAGGCCAGGCCCAGCTCCGAGGAACCTGTCTTAGACCAAAACCTAAAAGCCAAATCAAAAGAATGTAGGGGCTGGAGAGATGGCTCAGAGGTTAAGAGAACCGGTTGCTCTTCCAGAGGACCTGAGTTCAGTTCCCAGCAACCACATGGTGGCTCACAGCCATCTATAATGAGATCTGGTGCCCTCTCCTGGCATGCAGGCAGAACGCTGTATACATAGTGAATAAATACATTTGAAAAAGAAAAAGAATGTAGAAAGGAAAAGCAGCCATGCTGATGTAACTAAAATAAATAAGTTTTACTCAAAAAAAAATCATTGAATCATTTTTTTTAAAGAGGTTTATGTGTACGTGTGTGTGCCTGAGTGTGTAGCACTGTGTGAGTGCAGGAGCCAATGAGGATCAGAAGACGCTGGATTCCTAGAAATGAGAGTGACAAACAGTTAGGGGATACTTGTGGGTACCAGGAGCTCTCTGCAAGAACCATAGGTTTTCTTAACCCCTGAGACACCCCTCCAGCCCCAAATCGACATCCACGCAGAAAGCAGAGTACAGAGTAAAATGGAGAAGCATCTACACAAACAGAAGCAGGGAACATGGGAGTCCCAAGAGCACCCAGAGCGGAGAGGCTGACGGAATGGTGGAGAAACACACGGAAATGCTGCTGGGGATGTTCCCAAGTTATCAAACCGAGCTTAAGGGGCAAAGCGTAAAAGCCCACATCCGGACACACACAAGGAAGCTGCAAGAGCTTTAAGAACAAAAGTCACAAAAACTAGTGAACACACTTAGTGACAGAGGTATAAGGGCCTGGTGTGCTGGCACGTCTTTACAATTCCAGCACCTAGCAGGAGGCAAGGGAGCGTGTGTGGATGGTAGCCAGTTTGAGCTACACAGCAAGTCTGGCAACCTGGGCAAGAACAAGAGTCAGCAGCAGGAGGAGGAGGTTTTTGGAGGTGCAGCCCATCACTCAGCACTCAGGTGTTGGCTTCAAGGGCAGCCTGAATTACATGAGATCCTGTCTCAACAAACAATTTTTTTTAAAAAAAGAAGTACAATAATTAAAATTCTGATTGGCAGTAACGGCATGCTGGCTAGTTCTATGTCAACTTGACACAAGCTACAGTCGTTGGAGAGCGGGGAACCTCAATTGAGGCTCAGCCCGATGTGGGTGGTGCTATCCCTGGGCTGGTGGTCCTGGGTTCTGTCAGACAGCAGGCTGAGTAAGCCATGGGGAGGAAGCTAGTAAGCAGCGCCCCTCCATGGCCTCTGCATCAGCTCCTGCCTCCAGGTTCCTGTCCTGTCTGTATTCCTGTCCTGGCTTTCCTCAGTGATGAACAGTGATAAGGAAGCATAAGCCAAATAAACCCTTTCGTCCCCGAGTTGCTATGGTCATGGTGTTTCTGCACAGCAATAGTAACTCTCTGACAACTGAATACCGGATGAAAATGAAAAACGAAGCATCTTCAAGTAGTCGGAGAAACAACCTTGTGGTCAGATGAGCTGATTTTCAAGAGTAAGAAAGAATCTTATGAATATCTGCAGAGCTAAGTGTGAGGAGCATACAGGGGCAGAGGCAGGGGGTTGCTGTGAGTTTGAGGCCAGCCTGAGCTACACTGTGAATTACTGAAACAGCCAAGGCTACATAACAAGACTATGTCTTAAAAAGAAAAGAAAAACAAAAAAATCTAGAAAGATTAGAGCTTGCTGCTTATAACGTACATGCATCAAACAAGCTTCTAAAGTTTGGGGTTTTAAGAAGCAGCTTCCCAATAAATAAAAAAGGGAACAGAAGGAAATTTATTATGTATATCATATTGTAGTAAGAATCTAAAAATTAAAAACAAGATTTTAAATTAAAATGTGATTTTTGGCAGTTAGTTTGGATGCATCCATTTATTTATACGCTTTTAGACAGGTCTACATTTAGCAGAATACTATTTGGGGCACTGGAGAGATGGCCCAGCAGTTAAGAGCACCCACTGTTCTTGCAGAAGACTAGGGTTTGCTTCCCAGCACCCACTTTGGGTGGCCACAACCACCTGAAACTCTAGCTCCACAGGATCTGATGCCCTTATTTGGCCTTCACCCACGTGCTTACACACACACACACAGGGAGAGAATACTAAAATTAATATACTGCACTCCCTGACTTTCCTTTCTGTTTCAGAATGAAGAAGAAGCACGGCGTCTCATCTGGGAGAAGAACCTGAGGTTTGTGACACTCCACAACCTGGAACACACTCTGGGAATGCATTCATACACCGTGGCCATGAACCACATGGGAGACATGGTAGGTCAACCACAGGCAAGCCTCACGGTGTGACTGGGCAAGCAGAGTTTCTGAAGCCGTCGGAAGGCACGCTGGGATGGTGCAGTAACGAGACCAAAGCAGGCTGGCTAAGCAGGGCTGAGATACGGCTCAGCGGCAGAACACACAGCTCACAGGCATGAAGGCCTGGGTGTGATCCCCAGCAACCCTCCACCGTAAAAGGGGAGAGAAGGGCTTAATCATAGGCCTACAAAGCTAAAAAGCAGTAATGCTTAAGGGCCTAAGAATTAGTACAGAAAGCCCTTGTTTTGAAAAAGAAAGAAGGCTGGAGAGATGGCTCAGGGGCTAATCGCTCTGCCCGCTTTTCCAGAGCTCCGAGTTTGGCGCCCACATGGCAGCTCACAACTGTCTATAACTGTAGTCCCACAGTGTGCACATGTACGGGCAGACAAAACACCAATATGCAAGATAAAGAAATAAATCTTAAAAAATGAAAAAGAAAACAAGGAAAGATGGGGGTCAGTGAGACAGCTGCCAACCGCGCCGGCCTGAGTCTGATCAGCCGGGTTCACGTGCTACAAGAACTGACTTCCTCAGGTTGGCCTTTGACCACCGTGTGTGCTGTGGTGTGACAGTGACCACGTGTGAAATAAATAAAGATTTCTTAGTCCTACTTTGGCCACTTTCTCTAAAACAAAACGAAACGACAACAAAACCCCAAACGCCTCTCGACATGGTCTCATGACTTGGCACATCTTTTTCTCCTGCCTCCACCTCTGGAATACTGAGGCTGCCGGTCTGTGGCACCACGCCCCATCTACCAAATCCCAGCTTCAACAGAAACCTAAAACTTACAAAATACTATTGCTCTCAAACTTTTAAATAAAGGCTAGAAAGCACTTTTTAAGCCTTTATAGCAAGTAGTCTACACTGGCGAATGGATATGGTCCACCCCCTTTCCCACTGGGAGCATGTGGGAGCCTGATGTCCGAGTCTCTTTTTGCATGTGTTTGTTGCTAAAGGTCAAACTCAAGGTCTATGCACACTGACCAGTCTGTCAGCTGTATCCCCAGCCCTCCTCATCAGTTTTTGGGTTATGTCCTACCCAACAAAAAATGTAGAATGCAGCCAAAATTAAGAATCACATTACTTTAGAAATAAACACAAAAGCCAGGCATGAAGAAATGGCTTGGTCTTGCTGAGCGGCGGTGTGGACAGGATATCCTGGAAGCTTGCTGGCAGCCACTGCAGATAGAACAGGCACAAGAGAGTCCATGGGCCCAGGTTTACAACACACAGAGAAAGAGAGACAGACAGACAGACAGAAGCAAAAAAATAAAAATAAAAAAAATAATCCTAGTAGCTTTGGGCAGGAAGCACCCTTGGAAACCCATTTCTACTTAAATGTAGCAGTGTCCTTTGTAGCTCTCTGAGGAAAAGCAGCTTGGCTGGCTTTCTGTGTTGCCTTGTAAGATTCTGCCTTTCTCTCAATCAAAAATCTGTAACTTCTGGTTTTCGCCATGCTCTATTTCTCCCTCCGTCTGTTTAAACCGTGTTGTTAATGACAAGTTCAAGATTAAAGAGACGCCCAGCGCTCACCCGACAGGTCGGCCCCTGAAGGCCGCTTGTCCTCACTGTCCAGTTATAGCACGTGACACTACTACCACGCATTTCTCTCAGTCTTGAAATATGTTCACATTCACAATTCTTAGGACAAGGAAAGAAATATAGGGGTCAGCCAGTGAAATAGTGAAATAGCTCGCCGGGTAAGGGCCTTGCTGCGAAGCCTGACAACCTGAGTTTGAGCCCGTAGAAGATGGAAGGACATGGAGCATCTGTCCCCGCCCCCTCAAACACAGGCACAAGAAAGGAAGGAAGGAGCGGAGAGAGGAGGGAAGGAGGGAGGCAAATTTAAAAGTGCTGAGTGAAATGTGACATTTACTTGCTTTACAGACCAGTGAAGAAGTCCTTTTTGGGATGAGCTCCCTGAGACTGCCCAGACACTGGCAGAAAAACAGTACTCTCAAGTCAAGCTCTAATCAGAAACTGCCTGAGTTTCTGGACTGGCGGGAGAAGGGGTGTGTCACTGAAGTGAAATACCAGGTGAGCATCACCGCCTCCAGGAGGCAGAGGTGAGATCTCTCTGTTTCACCACACACTCTGGCATGGACCTGCCTCTTTGCTGCTTCCTGGCTGTTTCGTTATTCCAGTCTTCCCAACTAAACTCTATCTTTCTTCTCTTCCTCCTCCTCCTCCTCCTCCTCTTCTTCATCTCTTTGTTTTTGTTTGTTTGTTTGTTTCCAGACAGGGTTTCTCTGTGTAGCTGTCCTGGACTTAACTTTGTAGATCAGGCTGGCCTCAAACTCACAGAGATCAGCCTACCTCTGCCTCCCAGAGTGCTGGGATTACAGGCGTGTGCCACTGCACCCGGCTGGTTGTTCTTTTTAGATTTATTCATTATGTATACAGTTTTCTGCCTGCAGGTCATAAGAGGGCACCAGATCTCATTATAGATGGTTGTGAGCCACCATGTGGCTGGGAATTGAACTCAGGACCTCTGGAAGAACAGCCAGTACTCTTCACCCCTGAACCATCTCTCCAGCCCCTGACTTCTAATTCTATGATCCACCTGCCTCTGTGTCCCAAGTGCTGGCATTAAAGGTTTGCACCCCAGCCACCCCAGCAAGCACAAATAAGCACGGAGGCTGGAGAGCTGCTCCAGCTGTTGAGAGCACCTGCTGCCCTTCCAGAAGACCTAAGTCTGGTTCCCAGCACCCACAAGAAAAAGCCCACACTGCCTGTAACCCCAGATCCAGGGGATCTAATGCCCTCTTCTAGCCTCTGTGGGTACCTGCAGACACGTGCGCATACAAATACAGAAATAATGCATGATAAAAGAAAACATAATAAAACAAACCTTTAAAAATGATTCTGTGGTGAGGATGACGATGACGTCTGAGCATAATCACTCTGTGGTTAAAGGTCTTGCATCATCGGCATCGTTTTGTGACAGGAACACGAGGGTTTGTGGATACCTGTCACAAACGTCGGTGAGCAGAGACAGGGACTAAATCTCTTTAAAAATTTTTAGAGTTATTTATCTGTGCCAGTGTTCTGGCTGTGTGCCTGCCTGCCTGCCTGCGTGTGTGTGTGACTGTGTGCGAGCCTGCGGCGTGCATGCAGCGCCTGCAGTGGCGGACCTGGCCGCAGGTAATTCAGGGCATGACGGAGAGAGTGCGGACCGAGAGGTTACAGGGCAAAAGAGAGAGACGGAAAACTCAGGATAGTTCCGGAAGGGTCGTCAGTCAGTACCGAAGCAGCCAAGTTTACTCCACGGCTCCTTTTCAAAGACAAAGCAAAACAGTTCACATCGGTACAAAGACAGGGTTCATGGAACAGTCAAAGTTGTTTTCTGAGACCACATTCCTGTATGGCAGACACGGTCCAAGTTAAAGACAAGTTAAAGAAACTTGGCAAAACCTCCTGCCAGCACGAAAACATGTTTTTCACTGAACGCTCTATAACAAAGCAGCTTGCCAAGCAAGCAACTGTCCACAGTGAGAAAGAACTTTGGCTTCGAACACTGGAGAGGTCAGAAGAGGACATCAGCTCCCCTGGAACTGGTGTTACTGACGGTTGTGAGCGACCATGTGGGTACTGGGCACCAACACCTGGTCCTCTGCAAGAGCAGCAGGTACTCGTAACCACCGAGCCATCTCTCCAGCCTCATGAACGGAATCTTTAAGCTGCGTTTTGTTCTGAGAGTTGGTGACCTGAGAAGGCGGCAGATGAACATTCTAGAGATCTGCCTTACACCTCACCTCTAGGCGGCCAGTCACCTGGGCGAGAGCGCTGACTCTGAACAGCCAACTCTTCCCAGTGTGTCCCAGCCGTGCTGTTTACAATGTAAATGAGGAGGTGCCTTTGGCCTTGAGGTGAGGTGCGATGGGCTCTTAGAACACATGATGTGAGAGTGCCTCTCTCTGTCCCTCCTGTCTGGCTCAATTGGCTGAGTTATTCTGTCTCCTCTCGAATTAACTTTCCTGATGAACAAAAAAGAAAGAGAGAGAGAGAGAAAGGAAGGAAGGAAGGAAGGAAGGAAGGAAGAAAGGAAGAAAGAAAGAAAGAAAGAAAGAAAGAAAGAAAAAGAAGGGAGGGAGGGAGGGAAGGAAGGAAGGAAGGAAGGAAGGAAGGAAGGAAGGAAGGAAGGAAGGGAAGGAAGAGAAAGAAGGAAGGAAAAGGCATGACTGCTCTTAGGTATGGTGGAGGCCGTTTATTGTGCATAAAAGAGAGCAGGTAGCCAGAGGAAGGGGCATTTGGTAGAGTTCAGAAGGAGCATGACCCTGAGCTGGCCGTGTGCGGAGGGCAGAGCTGGGAGAGTGAAGGTGAGAGGAAAAGGGCTGGGTGACCAAAGGTCTGGATTATATAGGGAAGGGCAACTGGGGAAGAGCAGCAGCCCAGGCCCTGGGCTGGAGAAGTTTAGGGTGTGCCAGCCACACTCTGTAACAGGTAGGGACTGAGGGATGCTGGGAGAACCTGGTGGCCAGGTCTGCTTTGGTATGCTAAACAGGCACCTCGGCTGCTAGAGACCTAACACCGGCAGCGTCTGTGGAGAGGAGAGCTGGGACTTTGCGCATGCTCAGTGTGTACTGGGCTTGCGGAATGCCTGCTGAGAGCCCACGCTCTCGCCACCAGGGCGGGACCTTGCCTGGAGAATGTCTTCCCTCCTGTGGTCTGAGAGAGGAGGAGGCCTCTTCCTGACAGCTGGCCTTGTCCTCTGACGGACTCTTCTCGGTTTTCAGGGTTCTTGCGGGGCCTGCTGGGCCTTCAGCGCTGTGGGGGCCCTTGAAGCCCAGCTGAAGCTGAAGACGGGGAAGCTGCTGTCTCTCAGCGCTCAGAACCTGGTGGACTGCTCCACGAAAGCAAAATACGGGAACAAAGGCTGCGGCGGCGGCTTCATGACGGAGGCTTTCCAGTACATCATTGACAACGGCGGCATCGACTCAGAAGCCTCCTATCCCTACAGAGCCATGGTGCGACACGGTTGTCCGCCGTGACTTCCCCGCAGTGCCACTCTGGCACCACCAGCCCAACTGCTTGACCAGTCCAGAGCCAGTCAGCAGCTTCTCAGTGTCCAGGGTTCTCTTTGAACCTCAGTGACCTCCTGCATCTACCTGTGGGGTCCTTGTCGTTTGCTACAGGGTCTTGTGGTGTAGCCCAGGCTAGTCTTGAACTCTGCATAGCCGAGGGGGCGCTAAATTACCGTTCCTCCTGTCTTTCCTCCTAAATGTTGGATTAGAGGGTTTTGCCGCCACACCCTACGCAGAAAATATTTTCAAATGAGCAAGCGGCATTCGTAGTTAAAGATCGGCTAAAGAAGCCATCACAACAATGCCTTCTCTATGATATTTAGCTCTCAGTGCTCAGGTCATCAGCTAGCTCATTCTTCCACTTAAAAGGCCCAATAATGCTATCCTCTTTGCCACAGGCTTGTGGGGGTTTTGTTTGTTTGTTTGATTGTTTGTTTTACAAATTCTGTTGAGTAGTATAAGCAAAAAAAGGTGTGGGGGGACTGTGAGATAAAATTATCACTCAAGGGCTGGCAAGATGGCTCATTAGCTAGAGGTGCTTGTGGCCAAGCTTGACTTCTTGAGTTTGAGCCCATGGGGAGCCCTGCAGGTCATGCTCTGACCTCCACACTCATGGAGTAAACTCGATAAAACCACATTTAACCAACCATCACTCAGCAGCTTCCCATCTTAGCAGTATTGCTCTGCTTTGTTTCTTTCAGCTTCTTTTTCTGTTATGATTTTAGGGGGAAAGACAGTCATATATTCAACAAACATTATTTGCAACCTTCTGGGGGTTTTATTTGTCTTGTTTTCTGCTTTTGAGGCACAGTCACACCATGGAACTCTGGCTGGCCTGGAACTCATTCTGTAGATCAGGCTGACCTTGAACTCTCAGAGATCCCTCCACCTGAGCCTCCAAGAGCGCTGCCTCTTGGTTTTTGTTTGTTTCGTGCTGTCTCACAGCTACAGCTGGCCCCGGGCTTGGGGCCAGGCCCAGCTTGAGACAGTGTTTGAACAAACAAATAAATGGAAAAACCCAAAATAAAATAAGAAAGATGGGTGGGGACAGAGGGAAAGGGGGGAGGTCTGAAGTCAATTGAAAAGGGTGAAAGGGAGAGGGATTCATATTGAAACCTAGAAAATTGAATTAGCCTGTGTGCTTGGTTTTTTTGTAGGATGAAAAGTGTCATTACAACGAAAAAGACCGAGCTGCCACCTGCTCAAGGTACACGGAGCTTCCCTCTGGTGACGAAGATGCCATGAAAGAAGCAGTGGCCACTAAAGGACCTGTGTCTGTGGGCATCGATGCCAGCCACGCCTCCTTCTTCCTCTACAAAAGTGGTAAAGCTGGAGGCACCAGCCTCTGTTTATTTGCTGCCCGAGATAGGGACTGAGTGTCCGGCACCTCCGACTGGTGAATCCCGGTAATGAAGGTTTACTAAGTTCCTCCCGTATCTTTCGTCACCACCAACCCTAACCTACGTATAAATACTCCACGGCAAAGTTAGTCTGCCCTGCTGCTGGAAAGTCGGCTCCATGGCTAAGAGCATTTGTTACTGCAAAGGAGCCAGGTTTGAGGCCCAGCACCTACACGGAGGCTCACCAGCTTCTCAGGTACCAGGCAGGCTTATGGTGCACATCTAGGCAAAACACTCATACCCATAAAATAATAAAAACAAATCTAAAACAAAAATTCAAGAAAAAAAAAAAAGAAGGAAAAGAAAAAAGGTTAACCTGCCTAAGCCACTCAGCTAGGATTAAACCCATGCAACTGAAAACCATGTTGTAGGCTCCATATAGGAAAATATGAGTTGCTGCTGGTTGTGGTGGGCAAGTCTGTGGTTCTAGCATTTGGGCGGCAGAGGCAGAAGGATGAGAAGCTTGGTGCCTGCCCAGGCTACACGGTGAGACTCTATCAAAAAACCAAAACAAACAAACAAACAAAAAAATAATTTTTTTTAATCCACCAAAAGTGCATTATATAAACTAAAAAAAAAAAAAAAAAATTAAGAAAACAAATCAACTTACAACTGGGGTTGGAGAACCCAATTATAAATTTATCCAGAGTGTTGTGCCTGATTCGAGATACCCCCAAAAGACCACTGGGAGTCGAGTTCATTGCAAATCATACGAGGATCTTTATTCAAGCTTAAGCTCGGGCTGCCAATCTTCTTCCCTGATATAGCAGGTTAGAAAGTGAGGTCCCGAGTCTCAGCGGGGCAGAGTTTTTAAAGGGAAAAACCACAAGCGGGGAATTCCAAGCCTTGGTGTTACAGGAAAGGGTAAGATTTGAGTGGGGAGTTCAGCAATCGAGGTGACCTTTGGGCTATCTGTACGATGGCCTGCTGGGTGGAGGGGAGAACCCACTAACACATTCTGCGGTATTCACAACAACCTGTGGAGTGGATTATAGTTATCAGCCTGTGGCCTGATTATGGTTATCTATTAACACATTCTGTGGTATCTACCACAACCTGTAGGGTGGAGGGCCCAGGTGGCCCTTCTTGGAGCCTGAAGGTGGGGGCTAAGTCACTCCAAGGACAGGCAACTTAAGATAGAGTCTGAGAAATGAAATGGAGCCACCCCTGCCATCCTCGATTCCTTCAAGAGCAGAAAAGCACTATAGAGAGACTCAAAGAGATACGTGCAGAGGTGAAAGCCTTATCCTTGTCCTCTGTTTACAGAGTGAAGAGTCAAATATCAATAAGATTCTTCACAAAGCTAGGCAGGGTAATCCTAAAGCGTGTTTGAAATCTTGAAAACCCTCAATAGCCAAAGCCATTTTAACAAAAGGCTAGAGATGTCACAATATCTAACTCCGGAGTACATTTCTAAGTTACAGCAGCCAAACAGCATGGCATCAGCATAAAAACAGACCAAGACCAACAAACAGAATGGCAAGACCCTGTCTCAAAACACAGCCAGGCATGTTGGCACATGTTTGTAATCCTTGCACCTGGGAGGCAGAGGCAGGAGGGCTACCTCAAGTTTGAAGCCAAGCTGGCTCTCCTTGTTAGGTTTCTTTTGCTGTGTTAAAACCCTGACTGAAAACTATTTCAGAGGGAATGTTTGTTTGATTTACAGCTTATGGTCCATTATCAAGGGAAACCAAGGCAGAGGCTGACGCTGAGACCATGGAAGAATGTTGCTTACTGGCTTGCTCCCTCCCTATGGCTTGCTCAATTTGCTTTCTTACTCCACCCAGGACCATCTACCCAGGGGTGGCACCAACCCCAGGAGGCTGATCCCTCCCACACCAATCATTAATCAAAAAGGTGTCTTACAGACTTGCCTACTCATTTTCTCAATTGAGGTTTCTTTTCCCAAATAATCTAGCTTATGTCAAGTCAACAAAAAGCTTCTGAGGACACTGACTATATAGTGAGTGAGTTCCAAACCAGCCAGGGCTACATAGCAAGTCTATGTTTTAAACAAACATAAAGATAAAAGATAACCAAATGCTGATGACATGGGAACCTTTGCCCACAGATTGTAAGAATATCAATTAGTGCATCCTTTAAAGGAAATGGTCTAGAAATCCCCCACCCCCCAAAATTAGGACTACCATTCAAGCTAGTGATTCCACTACCAGAAATATATCCCAAAGAGATTAAATCATTGTACTGAAAAGACAGCTCTCAAGTTCATTGCAGTAGAATTTTCAACAGCCTCCCTGACGATGAACTGATGAGCGGATAAAGAAAAGGTGGCACGCACACAGTGTGGAAGAGTGTTTGCCTCTAAACAGAGAATGCAGCAGTGGGCCTGTGGCTCAGGTGCTAAAAGGTCAGCCCACCACACATGAATCCCTGGGTTCAGTCCCCAGCTCACACATACTGAGCATGGTGGTGCGAACCTGTCACCTCAACTCTCTGGAGGTGGAGGCAGGAGGAGGAGAAGCTTAAGGTCATCTTTTGACTACATACCAACTTTGAGGCCAGCCCAGGTGAGCTATGGGAGACCCTGGCCTGGGAAGACTTAAAGAAGGGCACATCACACTGCTTTAACGTCAACACTTAAGACTGTACATGCCATCAAAGCTCAATAGCCCAGTCCCTGAGTACACGCTAAGTGCAGAACTCTGAGGTCCACAAGAAAAAGCCACAACACACATTAAGGAGTTTTTAATTTAGAAAAGGCTCAGGGTGGACAAAACAACTTGTGAACTTATACAAAGAAACACAACTGATTGTATATAAGTTAAGAGAATTAGAAAAATGTGAATGGATATAATAAAGTTCCTGAGGGAGCTATGGGTCAGGGAAACGGACAGAAGGTAGTGACGTCAGACAGTTATGACGTCTAAATCACCTTGTCCTATTTCCAAGACCCCTGATAACACATAGTCGGATGGCCAGGCATGTTTTGCTATCCTGTTGCGCTCACCTCCTTCCCCTCTGTGTTTCATTCTCAGGTGTCTACGATGACCCCGCCTGCACTGACAAGGTGAACCATGGCGTGCTGGTGGTTGGCTATGGGAGCCTTGACGGGAAAGACTACTGGCTTGTGAAAAACAGGTAAGCTGTTTGCCTGTCACTGCCGGCTTCACTGTCAGGACTGGAGGGCACATCAGCAAATGTGCTCTTGCGGTTAGGATGCTGGTCACCACAGCAACGAGGATGAGCGTTTACAGCTTCTTACAAAGCCCCATGGGAAATGACTCCCTGGCCCTGAGTGGTCTGAATGAGAACGGCCCTCACAGGCTCCTACGTTTTTATTACTGCGCGTGTGAGCCTGCGTGGTGTGGGCTTTGTATGAGTGTGTCTGTGGATTCTGGGGATGGGGCCCAAGTTACCAGGCTTCCTGGCAAGTGTTCTCACCCACTGTCTTGGCTACTTCTGTGTTGCTGTGATAAACCATGAGCAAGGCAACCTACAGAAGAAAGGGTTTGTTTGGGGCTTACGGTTTCTGCGTGGTGAGAGTCCATCACCACCACACAAGCATGGCAGCAGGCACAGTGACAGGAGGAGCTGAGAGCTCACATCTGGAACTGCATGCTAGAAGCAGTAAGAACAAACTCAAAACAGTGCATGTCTTTAACCTCTCCAAATCTGTCCTCAGTGACATGCTTCCTCCAGCAAGGCCTGCCTGAACAGGGCCATCCACTGGGGACCACGTATTCAAATGCCAAAGAATGTTGGGGCGGGGTCCCCTTTAAACTGCCTTGCCAGCTGGCCCTTCTGACCGGCCCCGTCCTTTTTCCACTTGAATCCATCTTTCACGCTGCCTAACAGATCTGACTAAGCAGAACAAGATTCTGCTTCTAACAGCTCTGCTTGGCAATCAATCAGCACGAAGTTCCTAGGAGAGGCGCCAAGTGGTCCGTATTTCTGTCTGCCTTTGCCAGCCTCCTGGCATTAGATTTACACTTTTTGCTTTAGTTGGAGTTTACAGTTACAGACCCCATATACACAGTTATCTGAGATAGCTATTTTTCCTTTTATTTGGTTTATCATTCTTTCAGAAGTCTGGTAGCACATTCTTATAATTCCAGGACTCAGGAAGCACAGGCAGGAGTTTTAGGTGTTTAAAGTCATCCTTGGCTACATATCAAGTTCTAGGCTAACCTGAGCTACATGTGGCCTGTTTTCATGCCCCTCATTGATAAAACACAACATAGACTAAAAAAATATCCAAAATATAAATTGAAAAAAAAAAAAAATCAGGCCAACAAGATGGTTCAGTGGGTAAAGGCACTTGTTACCAATAGCCTGAGCTTGATCCCAAGAGGCTACACAGTGGAAGGAGAGAGAATTGGATCCTACAGGTCGCCATCTGCGCTGTCCACTCACACATGCCTTCCCCACACAGCAAAAAATAAATAAATAAACGTAATGAAAAAATTAGCTAAAGCTGCTTAGACAGTAGCTATTCCAGGAAAAAAAAAATCTCTGAATGTTTGGAATAAGTAAAATGTCCCCTTGTTTTTTGTTAAGTTTTGTTTTGTTTAGATTGGAACTTACTATGTAGACTTAAGTCAGCCTGGAACTCAGAGAGATTGCCTGCCTGTGCCTTCCGGGCACTGGGATTAAAGGCACGCATCTGCGTCCTCTCTGGTGAGAAGAGGGCACCATCTGAGAACTGCAGCCGCAGATGGTTGTGAGCCACCGTGAGGGTGCTGGAAACCTAAGCCCGCCCCCCACAAGAGCAGCAAATGCTCTTAACCGTTCAGCCATCTCTCCAGCCACTATGCTGGCGAACTACGCTACAGATACTGAGCCACAGCGTTTTGCACGTTGTATTTAGTTTGCCTCTCTGCAGTGGTGATATTCCGTGTGTGACTTTGTGGTGGACACGATCACAGTCTTGTTTTTCAGCGTCAGTCCTGTTCCAGCACACAGTGACCCCTCAGTCATGCACTGGTCTGACCTCTGAATAATTCATAAGCAAAATGAATACAACTCTTAGAGGGGAAAGGGCCATGTGGAGGCTGGAGAGATGGCTGAGCACTTGAGAGCCCTTGTTGCTCTCTTAGACTCTGAGATCCTTATGCACATAAACTCATACAGGCACACACAACTAGACATGAATTTTCTGGAAAATATGTTTAAAGGTTTATTTTGTTTTTAATTATGTGTCTGTGTGTAGATATGTGCACAGGAGTGCAGTGGACCAAGGTGGCCAGAGACATCAGATTCCCTGGAACTAGGCTGCAGGCAGTTCTGAGTCCCCTCACGTGGGTGTTGGGACCCAGACTTGGGTGCTCTGAAGTATGTGTGCCTGACCACTGAGCCATCAAAACAACAGAATTTATGTCTTTTGGTTCTTGAGGCTAGAGGCGGAACCAGCGTGTTGTGCGTTAGTGTCCCCTGGGGACTGTGAGGAAGACACTCTGCAGACACGAACCTCATAAAGCCAGATTGGTAGGGATAGAAGGGGATGGTGGCTGCTAACAGGTAGGGTGGGGTCAGAAGGGATGTTGACCAGAGCATGCAGACTGTTGGTTCCAAGAGAGTTCTTGAGTTCCAGCGGATGACAATGTCTTAGTGAGTCTGTTTGTGCTCGTTTGCCTCAGAATGTGTACACGTGTATTGTATGCATCTTGGATACATATGATAATTTCTTCTTGTTGTTTTTGGTTTGTTTTCAGACAAGGTTTCTCTGTATAGCCCTGGATGTCCTGGCTGTCACATTGTAGACCAGGCTAGCTTCCAACTCAGAAATCCACCTACCTTTGCCTCCCATGTACTGGGATTGAAGGTGTGTGCCACCACTGCCCAGCATGATAATTTCTAATTAAATATATTTTAGTTAAAAAGATAAGTCCAGCTGCGTGTGTTACTGCATGCCTGTAATCCCAGCCCTTGGGGAGGCAGAGGCAGGCGGATCTCTGTGAGTCCAGGGCTAGCCTGGTATAAAAGTCCAGGACAACCAAGGATACACAGAAAAACCCTGTCTCAAAAAACAAAAACAAAAAAAATCTCAAAAATATAAGAATAATAGTGATAATAAATAAAAGAGCTCAGTGTATTGTCACATGCCTGTAATTCCGGCATTGGACAGTAGAGGCAGACGAGTCAGGAGTTTAAGACCAGCCTTTGGAACATAGCAAGTTCAAGGCCAACCTGGGATGCATCACACACACACACACACACACACACACACACACACTGGAGAGTGGAGTGCCTTCCCGATTTCTGAGGCTTGCAGCCACTGCTTTCCTTCCCTTGGCCTGTAGGAATGGCCTTCAAATCTCCCGAGACTTCCCTGTCTGGAGTGTCACTGTGCTGACTTTCAGCCCTTTGAATTAATAACTTCATCTTAAGCTACTTGATGACATTTGTGGTGTCTCTACTTCCACATGAAGTCATATTTTGAGGTCCTAGGAGTAGAATTTCAATGAGAACTTTCACAGTCCAACCCTTGGTCCTCAGGGCTTCCTGGAAATGCAAACTCTAAGTCAAGGTGAGCGGGCACTTTCAGCCCTCTCGTGTGACAGCGGTAAAAGGTGGCGGTTTCCTCCCCGGGAAAGCGGTGAGGAAACTTGAAGTGTGGGTTACTCTTACCCCCTCACAGCAGTGACTAGCTTGGTGTGGACACATACTAGCTTGTTTTCAACTGAGCTTCTTTTTGTTGCTTTTTTACACACACCCATTTTTCCCTGTGTCTTCAGTGATTGAAACAATATTTTCTCTCACAGATTTCTAAATCCCCAAAGGACCCTTCTAAGTAATGTTGTACATACCTGCCTATCAAAGCGCCGCCTCCTCCTCTCCTCTTTATTTATTTATTTATTTATTTTGGTTTTTTTTTTTTTTTTTTTTTTTGGTTTTTTGAAACAGGCTCTCCTGTAGCCCAGGCTGGCCTCAAGTTCATTATGTAACCACAGAGGACCAAGGGCTCCTCATCCTCCTGCTTCCATCTCCACGGTGCTAGGATTTTAAGTGTGAGATGTTGTGTGTCCACTTATATGAGTTCCTGAGTACAGAAACCCCAGCTGACACAACAAGCCTAAAAGCCTTTAGAACCAGGCAGCTTATTCCCTCACCAAGCAGAATATTCTACTTTTAGATAGCTTTAATAGGAAGAAGTCTCATCCATTTCTGGATAATTCACAACCCTATTATTTATCATTTGCTTCAGAATTCATTGCTGTATAACACTTTCATAGTAGTTACCCAAAAGTACTTTGTGTGCGTGTGTGTGTGTGTGTGTGTGTGTGTGTGGTGTGTGTATGTGTGTGTATGTGGGTTTTTTTGGTTTTGGTTTTGATTTTTTTTTTTTTTTTACATTTTTTGACAGGCTTTCTCTGTGTAGCCTTGGCTATCCTGGACTTGCTTTGTAGACCAGGCTGGCTTTGAACTCACAGAGCTCTGCCTGCCTCTGCCTCCCCAAGTGCTGGGATTACAGGCATGCACCACTGCGCCTGGTACTTCTTAGAAGATGTTTCTGGAAACCCAGTGGTGGTGGTGCATATATCTGATCCCAGTAAGGGAAGCAGAGGTAGGTGGATCTGTGAGTTTGAGGCCAGCTTGGTCTACAGAGCAAGTAACAGGACAACCAGAGCTACACAGAGAAACTCTGAAATCCTGTGTTAAAAACCAAAGGGAGAAAAGAAAAAGATGTTTAAAGATTTTTTTTAAATTTATTATGTATATAATGTTCTGTCTGCATGCACACCTGCACACCAGAAGAGGGCACCAGATCTCATTATAGAAGGTTGTGAGCCACCATGTGGGTGCTGGGAATTGAACTCAGGATCTCTGAAAGAATAGCCTGTACTCTTAACTGCTGAGCCATCTCTCCAGCCCTGAAAAAGACATATCTTGAGAAATGTGTTTGCTGGAAAGTCATTACCCTTAAGCCAGACATTGTGGTGCATAACATCTGTAGGAATTGGAATCAGAAGGGTGAAGAGTTTAAGGTTAGTCTCGGTTACATAGTAAATTTAGGGCCAGCCTGGGCTACGTGAGGAACATTGTAAATAATATACTCTTGTTACAGAAGGCATGCCTAGAAAGCACAGATGCATCTTATATTACCGTCGTTAAATATGTGTGTTCAACAATAAGTAACTAGTGTATGTGGTGGCCCGCACCTGTGGTCCCACTCGGAAAGTCAAGGCTGGAGATTTGCTGTAAGTCAGACTAGCTGACATAGAAAGACCTTGTCTAAAGAAACAAAAAACACAAGCCTGGAAGCCTGGTGCTATGGCACATGCCTTCATCCCAGCACTCAGGAAGTAGAGGCAGATGGATCTCTATAAGTTTGAGGCCAGCCTGGTCTACAAAGAGAGTTCCAGAACAGCCAGGGCTGTTACACAGAGAAACCCTGTCTCAAACAAAACAAAACAAACAAACAAAAAAACAAAACCAAGCCTGGAATGGTAACATACACCTTTAATCCCAACACTTAGAAGGAAGAGGCAGTTAGATCTCTGTGACCCAGCCTGTGTTCCACGCCAGCCTGGGCTACATAGTCAGACCCTGCATAAACAAACAAACAAACAAACAAACAAACAAGCAGGGCTGGAGAGATGGTTTAGTGCTCAAGAGCACTGCTGCTCTTCCTGAGGACCTGGCTTCAATTCCCAGCACCCACATTGCAGTTCACAACTGTCTGTAATTCTAGTTCCAAAGGACCCGACACCCTCACACAGACATACATGTAGGCAAAACACCAATGCAGATATATTAATTGATTGATTGATTAATTAAACACATGTAAATGTTTTACAGGGAAAAAAGATTGAAATATTGATCATATAATTTTATTATATTTGTAATTTTGTGTTCTTTCATAGCTGGGGCCTTAACTTTGGTGATCAAGGATATATTCGAATGGCAAGAAATAAGAACAATCATTGTGGGATTGCTAGCTATGGCTCGTACCCAGAAATGTAAACAATCTCTTCTTTTTCTAACAAGTCATGAAGATGGAATTCACTCTAACTTGCTAGCACCACCTCTCTCCAGAGGAGACCAGCCTGTCATGATCAGCGTGTAATTACTGTCTAACTAGGTTACAGTTCGTTCCCTTATCCCAGGCCCTCTCTCTGAAAACTCTGTGAGCGAGAATGGACTGTAGATGGGGTGCTGTCAGAGTGTGTCCCAGGATATTCAAGTTTGCTTTTTCTGTATTTTATACCCTGCTGTCCAGCGTCTTCTAATAACCTCCTGTAACGTGATAGCCCCAAAGTGCTTAATAAATCTGTCGTTTCAAATCTGTTATTGTCACATATGATTTTTTCCAAATTGTTCTCAGATGACCTTTATCATGAGTGAGACTACATTAGCGATGAGCTGTAGTCACTGTGGTGAAGAAAACATTGTCATAAAAAAATGACAGGCATAGTGGTGCATGCCTTTAATCCCAGCACTCAGGGGGCAGAGGGAGGACAATCTGTGTGAGTTCGAGGCCAGCCTGTTCTATAGATGGAATTGCAGGATAGCCAGGACCGTTACATAGAGAAACCCTGTCCAAACCAAACCAAACCAAACCAAACCAAACCAAACTAAAACCAATGCTTAATATCAGAAAAGGGTTTGAGGAATGTGAGCGTGGGGTGGGGAGGAAGGGGAAGAGAGAGGATACAGGAGCAGGTAATATCTGTCTCTCTGACGAGGTTCTTAATACAAGCAATGTAATGCTAGGAAAGTTCTGGGAAGTTTATAACTGTGAGAAAAATACAGGGTAAGACATTAGTGTAAGATTTCCACCTTCTTTGATCCTAAAAACAAAATTCAAGTCTGGCGCCCAGACGTTGGGCTTAAAATAATGAGTAATGGCATAGAGGAGACAGTCGGGTGCGGAGAGAATATGCCGGTTCAGGATAGGAGCAGAAGTTTACTGCGGCCGCTACCGCTGCTTTCATCCCGGCTTTCCTCCCAGAGGGGCTTCTCTGGTTTTGTTTCATTGCAGAGTTGGCAATGCAACTAGAAAATTAGTGAGTAGAGGTTGAAATACTTTGAAAGCACAAGTGTCTTTGGTAAAGGGAGAATGCCTGGTACCTAAGGGCTGGAATTCACAATTGCCACCCAGTCCTGCTCCACGCACTTTCGGGGTCAAATTCCCACAGCCTCTGGGCAGGCTGGGGAGCCGGGATGAGCAGAAGGCTGAAAAGGTAAAAGGCAAAAGGTTAAAAAGAAAACACGTTAATCTTGAGCAAACTGAGCTGCCAGAGGCTGAGACTGACACCGTTAGCTTTCCCGTCAGCCGCCAAAGCTTTAGATAGCCAAATGCTCAATGCTGTGTCAGAGCTTAAAATGGCCGGTGTGTTAGCTCAGAACGCTGCGGTGGGTTCTGCCAGACAGACAGGCGAGTGAGCCGTTCCTGGCAGCACTGGGCTCTCCGCAAGAATGTCTGGGTAACTTCTGACCGCCAGGGACCTAGCTCGAGGCTCAACAGCAAAAAGTATGCGTCAATCCAGACAAGAGGAGCCGAAAGCCATCAGGTGATAAAAGAAAACGCTGGTCCTCGATTATTTTCTTCTAAGAAAACAATAAATGTCAAGTTTCATTTATATTAAAAGAATAGCTTAAAAAAAAAACAGAAAAGGGGGAAATGTGGATTTACACGTTATTGTTTTGGTCCCAGGTGTGGGATGTGGGACCGATTCAGATGGTCCACAGCAGCAGGCTATTTGCCAGCTGCAGATAGTTTGAATCTGAGGATTCTGGGGAGAGAATAAATGCCAGAGCTCAGAGAGTGGAGCTTGGAGCAAGAACGAGGCTGCTCCTGCTTCCCCCACTGTGGCTCCTAGTTGCTGTTGTGAGACAAGAAGTTGAGGGTCTCCTGAAACGAGGACTGGACTGGCTCCAAGGAACCCGATGACCCTAACCAGCAAGAAGCAGCTAAGAAAAAACTGCTTTATTTACATAAGAAATGTAGGGCTGGAGAGATGGCTCAGCCGTTAAAGGCTAGGCTCACAACCATAAATATAAGAAATGTAAATAAAAGAGTTAAAAAAAAAACAACTAATACCAACACTAGTCTTTATTCTTTTACTGAATTATGGGGCCTCTGAAACCGCCCACACCAGAACTAGGTTCCATTAGCTCTCTCAGACAGCTTTCTTCCCTCTGGAATTGGGTCTTTCCTAATGTTTATTTTCCTGTGTGGACATACATGCTAGGGTGCACACGTGGAGGCCACAGATGGCAGAACTGGTTCTCTCCTTCAGCCTTATCAGGCTTGGTGGGAACGCCTTTACCCATGAGCAGCAGAGACAGTGGGGGACTGTTTTCACAGACCAGCTGTGTGAAGCTGAAAGAATCAGACTAACTCTGTGACCTATGTTTTTTTTTTTTTTAAATTGCCTTATAACTTATATTTTCACGTTTTAGGCCCATGTTAATTAAAGCCTCTTAGTGCTTCCCCAGAGAGCCGAGGAATGTAAAAGTTCCTGACATTAGCCATCTGTGAGGGCAGAGATAAGGAAGAGAACAAGCAAAGATCTCTACTAAGTGGAGAGAAAATCACCGGCCGGTGCCTGTGAGATAAACTTTGTTTGGAAACTGGGCCAAATGGCCCCAATCCTTCTGAATAGCTCCTGACTTTTGACCAAAGCCTGTAGCCCCCACTCCTCAGAATAGACACGGGATGAGTTAATCATTCTCTCACCTTTAACTGCAGCTATATCTCATATGGCAGGAAATTCCAAACTGACTTGAAGATCAGATATTTATGACAGGGCTGACCGGACCTAAGGGTGCCCAGAACCAACCAATTATTTTAAAAGTTAAATACCTCATTCAATCCTGAATTGCCAAGATTGCAACCCCTGGAAATTCCCACCCTTTGTCTTTTAAAAACCTAAGGTCTTTGTCTCCCGGTGCCACTCCTTGCTGACCAGCAGGGGTGACCCCATTGCGCAATGGTCAAAATAAACCTCTTGCGATTTTGCATCGAGACCTGTCTCCTGAGTTCTCTTCATCCCTTCTCGAAATTAGGCTCATCTAGGCCTAACAAAGCAGTGCTGGTGGTCCTCTGGGCAGCTGATGAAGGAGCAGCAGCTTGGCAGCGTCTTGTCTCAGCTACTATCCACACACTCAAATGCCAGGACTGAAAAAAATCACCGCTTTGTTTCTAAATGAGGCATAAATGTGTTTTCAGAGCTAGCCACGGTCCCCAGTTAGAGTGGTAGCGGTATCTAAGATGGCGACCTATGCCTGTAAGTCTGGTGGGGGGGCTGGGGGCAGGTTGAAAGGGTGGCTGTTCAAAGCCAACCTCAGCTAAATAGGGAGAGTGCGTGTCAAAAACGGAAGAATTGAGGCGGGTGAGATGGCTCAGCAGTAAAAGTACCTGCTAACAAACCTGACAGCTCAGCTAGACTCCTGGACTCACGCGAAAGGAGAGAACTGACTCCAAGTTATCTTTGGACCACTTCAGTGCTGTGGTGTGAGCATGCCCACGTCCTGTGACCTCCAAATGAGAGCCACAGGGCACCCCCACACAAATAGTACCAGAGGTGGTCGCCGTCGGTGCACGCCTGTAATCCCAGCACCCAAGGAGGCAGAGGCAGGCGGAACTCTTGAATTCGAAGCCAGCCTGGTCTACAAAGCCAGGGCTACCCAGAGAAACCCTGTCTCAAAAACAAAACAAACAAAAAAGAAAAACTAGAAATTTAAACCGATTCCTTTTTTTTTTTTTTTTAATTATATATTTGTGTTTTTTGTTAGCCTATTGATTGCTCTTTCCAGGCGAACTCAAGAGACCTGCCTGCCTCTGCTTCCCCAGGGCTGGGATGAAAGGCGTGCGCCACGGCTTTTAAAAACAACTTATTAAGCAGAGATAAAAATCGAAGTTAATCGGACTGGTGGAGCAACTCATTTCCTCGGCGACATCCTCGGGGACCCTTCAACACACGGCAGGTCTGACAGCAGCATCGAAGGGCGTAGAGCAAGGCGTCTGGGCCGCTGTGCCCTGCCGACTGCGCCGGGGGACACCGGGGGAGGCTGGGCCCGGAGAGCCCGGCGTGCGGGGCATGCTCTGCCCGGCCAACGCGCTCCCGGCAGGCCCTGCGCAGCTTTGGGCGGGAACGGCGCCCGAGGTCGAAGGGCGCTGCCCGCGCGCGCGAGGCGGTTGAGGCGCATGCGCACGGCGCACGTGCTGAGGCGAGTTCCGCACGGCGAGGCTCGTCCGGGTCGGTCGCTCCCTGCCGCGTCTCCCCGGCGTTGCGTAATATAGGCTTCTTTTTGGGCTGGGTGGTGGTCGCTTTCCAGCTCCCCGGGCTCCCGGCCGCGGCCCGCGCCTCCCCCGGGGCTCCGGTCTGGGAAGGGCGGGCGGGCGGGCGGGCGCTGAGAGCTTTTGCGTGCTCGGGTCCCCACGGCCTCCCCGCCGCCATAGGACTAACGGCCTCCAGCCGCGTTTGCGGCCGACTCCCGCCGGACTGTGGTTAACTGTCTTGATGACGGCCCAAACGGGGACCGGAGTGCCAGGGCATTGAATGGGCCTGCCGAGCTGGCTGGGCACCCCCGGTCACTAACGCACCTAACAGGCGGGCGGGTTTCGGGCGCCGAGGTCACGCAAGCGTCCGTTACCGGCTGGCCGGAGCCGCTGGGGAGACCTGGTCCCGAAACCTTTAGAATAAGTGGTGCGTGGTGGCACTGGGGAGGTGGAGGCAGGAGGACCAGAAGGTCAAGGTCCCAGTCCCTTAGTCCCAGCGCTCAGGAGGCAGAGGCGGGTGGGTCTCTGAATTTGAGGCCAGCCTGGTCTAGAGAGGGACACCCCTCCCCCCCAGAAAGTTCAAGATCATTCTTGGCTACGTAGGGTTGGAGGCCAGCCTGGACTACGTGAAAGCCTGTCTCAAAAAAAAAAAAAATATGTATATATATATATTTTTTAATCTGTTATTTTCCGTTGACTTAAAAAATGTGTTACATTTTAGGGCAGGGAGCCTATGAACATGCTGTGTGACATAGAAGTCAGGGAACGACTTGTGGGAATCTTTTTCTCTCCACCACGTTGGTCCTACCAACTCAGATCATCAGGCTGGAAGCAAGCTCATTTACCCGCTGAGCCATCATATACCCTCCCTGCTTTGTCATTTCCCCCAGATTTTATTGTGTATACAGTATTGTCTGCATGTACACCTGCATGCCAGAAGAGGGCGCCAGATCTCATTATAGATGGTTGTGAGCCACCACATGGTTGCTGGGAATTGAACTAAGGACCTTTGGAAGAACAGCCAGTGCTCTTAATCTCTGAGCCATCTTCCTCCCAGCCCCTGCCCCTGTCTTTTTATAGTTCCAGAGTAGCAATGCATACTGAGCCTGAAAAAGGACTCACCTGATTTGAATGTTATTATAGAAATATTTTTTAAATTAGGCAAACAGCCCTTCCTCCCAAAAACAAACCCACCAAAAAACAGTGTCTCAGGCAGTCTTGCCTGGTCTGCAAACTTGCTCTCCAGCCAAGGATAAACTTGAAGTTGTGATTCTCCTGCCTCAGCCTCCCAAGTGTTAGGATTACAGACATGTACTGTATCCTGGGGCTATACACTGACATTTTTAATGATTTCATTTTAAGTAAAATTCTTATATTTGTTAAGATAAAAGTCTTATATGTAATAAAGTAGAATTTTAGAGATAAAAAATTAAATTTTGTATTTGTGTTACATGGTTGAAGAAAATATTTTCTTGGAAGATGGCTACTATGCAGATGCAGAGGACAGCTTCAATGGTATGATCTCTTATGACTTAATGTGATTAACTTTGCTGCGTTTCTTCTTTCTTGAAGTGTAACTATTTTACCATTTAATAAGAGTCAAGTATTTGAGGCTTTAATGACATCAGAACACCCTGTACCTAAAGAAGTAATGCAGAATTCTTTCGGACATTTGGTATGTTACTGAAAGTTGCTCACTCAGTGGCATCTCCTTTCTCTCTTGGAGCTCTCACCAGCCAAATCTGACCGTCGTAAAGAACAAAAAAGGTTGAATCCTGCTTCCTTCCCCTTGACCACCTGCGTATGAACCTAGTACTGTTCATGAAGAGAGGGAGTGTTTAGAACTGTGCCCCTAAAGGACAGAAAATCCTATCTAACTGTGCATTTCTCTTTGTTACCTTTGTTGTTGCTACTACTACTATTATTATTTTAACCAGCATCTCACTGTAAAGCCCTGGCTGGCTTGGAACTCTCTAGTAGGCCAGGTTCTGCTCACAGGGGTCCACCTGCCTCTGCCTTCTGAGCACAGGAATTAAAGCATGTGCCACTGCATCTGGCTCAAAGAACATTCCTTTTCTAGTTATTTATTCTGCACAGGTGCTTTGCCCGCATGTATATCTTCACTATGTGGGTACAGGGCTATCAGATCCCTAGAACTAAAGTTAAAAGAGACAGCTGTTAGCCACCATATCGGTGCAGGGAATGAAACCTGAGTCCTCTGGAAGAGCAGGCAATCTTGCCACTGTCCAGTCCCAAAATGCATTTCTTTCTTATTTGTTTGGTTGGTTTGTTTTGGTTTTTGTTTTTTGAAACAGGATTTCTGTGTAGCTCTGTCTGTCCTGGAACTCAAGCTGTAGACTAGGCTGGCCTCGAACATACAGAAATCCAACTGCCTCCTACCTCCCAAGTGCTAGGACTAAAAGTATGGGCCTCCACCCCCCAGGCAAAGTGCATTTCCTTACAGAGTTTTATCATACCATCCTTCAGACTCTTTGCTTGAAAAGTAGAGTCAAGTCTAAAGTGATGCCTTTTAACTTGTACCCTGAGCACTATAGCTGTAGGCCAGCAATGTATTACACCTCATATCTCTGTAGATGTAAAATAGTTGCACCTACTATTTCATAAATTATAGTGACCATGCCTTGTCAGAGCTGCTTTTAACCCTGTTACTCAGGATGATTGAGAAGCTACTAAAAGGGTAGTGGTGGCTCACGCCTTTAATCCCAGCACTTGAGAGGCAGAGGCAGGAGAATCTCTTGAGTTTGAGGTCAGCCTGGTCTACAGAGTGAGTTCGAGGACAGCCAGGGCTACCCAGAGAAAGCCTGTCTAAAAAAAGAAAAAGAGAGAATGAGAAAGAGAAAGGCTAATAAAAATATATATATGGTGAGAGAACTGCTATTTTCTGGGATTTTTTAAAAAATGAGCATGCTACAGTTTTCTTCAGATGACTTTCACATTTTGCTTTAGTGTTGGATTTATCCTGAACATACCCTGGCATCTTGTAAGCTGAAGTGACTTTCTGGGGATGATGATTGTGGAGAATTCTTTGGGAAAGTATGTGCTTATGCAAAACTAGACTCTACTTTTAAGCTCAGGGGGGCTTTGTTTTCAATAGATGTCAATAAGGTGCTTTAACTAAGACTCATAACCAAACCTTCGGCAGAGTACAGGGAATCGTAGGAAAGAAGGGGAGTTAGTCTGATGAGGAAAGGATAGGAGCTCCACAAGGACCAAATATATCTGGGCACAGGGTCTTTTCTGAGATTGACACTCAACCAAAGACCATGAATGGATATAACCTAGAACCTCTGCTCGGATGTGGCCCGTGGTAGCGCAGTAACCAATTGGTTTCTCATAGTGAGGGGAACAAGGACTATTTCTAACAGGAACACAATGGAAGGCTCTTTGACCTCCTCACCCCCCAAGGGAGGAGCAGTACTGTTAGGCCACAGAGGAGGACATTGCAGCCAGTCCTGAAGATACCCGATAAAACAGGGTCAGATGAAAGGGGAAGAGGTCCTCCCCTATCAGTAGACTGGGAAAGGGGCAGGAAGGAGATAAGGGAGGGAGAGTGGGATTGGGGAGGGAATGAGAGAACAGGATACAGCTGGGATACAGTTAACAATATGTAACTAATAAGATAAATAAATAAATAAATAAATAAATAAATAAATAAATAAATAAATAAGATGCTTTAATTTCCCTTGAATTTTAGAGTGCATTGGTGTTTCCCAATAAGATATCAACTGAGCATCAGTCTTTGATGTTCGTGAAGAGGCTTTTAGCTGTTTCAGTATCCTGTATCACCTATTTGAGAGGAATATTTCCAGAACGTGCTTATGGGACAAGATATCTGGATGGTAATTTACAATATTTAAGACCTTCTTGGTTTTTTTACTTAGAGAATGTGATTTTTGATAGTAGTTTTATTGATGTAATTCATATAATTTGATTATTCACCAAAGTGTTTAGCTCAGTGATTAAGTTCTCACAGTGTTATGTAATTACCAAAATTTTAGATTATTTCACCAATCCCCCAAAAAATCTACAATAAATCATTCTCCTCTCCAGCTTCCTAGTTATAGACAGCTACTTTTTGTTTCAGTGACTGTACTAATTCTAGATATTTTTTACAAAAAAATCATGCAGTATATTCTTTCTAACTGATCTTTCATTTACCATAATGTAACATGAATTAATAATTGATTTTTTTCACTGCTGAAGAATATTCCATTGTATGGTTATACAACTCATAACTCAACAGGTTGTTTCCTTTTTTGTGCTCTTAATATATGAAGCCACATTCATATGCAAGTTGGGTTGTTTGTTTAATTGTTTTTGCTTAGATGCAGAGACTTATACATGCTAGAAAAGTGCTCTTTTACTGAGCTGTGTCTCCAGCCCTCAGAATATTTTTAGGGATATTAAATGTTTTTGAAACCACTTAAATGTAATTTTCCCCTCGATTTTGCAAGTGTAATATAACTTCACCTGACATTAGACCTCTAACAATAAGTAAACATATTTAAGTGTTACTTAAAACTTTTATAGTGGACCATATGTGTTTCTGCAGTTTTAAAGAGGCAAAATATAGATAGGTGTGTATCTTAGTTTCATTGCTGTGAAGAGACACCATGACCATAGCAACTCTTATAAAGGAAAACATAGCCAGGTGTGGTGGCACATACCTTAATCCCAGCAGGAGGCAGAGGCAGAGGCAGGTGGATGTTTGTGAGTCCAAGGCCAGCCTGGTCTACAAATCAAGTCCAGGATAGACACCAAGGAATCCTGTTTCCAAAAAATCAATAATAATAATAAAGAAAACATTAAATTGGGGCTGGCTTACATCTCAGAGGTTAGTTCATTATCATCATGACAGGAGCATGGCAGCACACAGCTCCATGGTGCTGGAGAGGTAGCTGAGAGTTCTACATCTTGATCCAAAGACAGCAAAAGACTGTGTGCCACACTGGGCATAGCTTGAGCATAGGAGACCTCAGCCCACCTTACAGTGGCATATTTCCTCTGACAACACCACATCTATTCCAACAAGGCCATACATACCTCCTAATAGTGCCACTCCCTATGGCCATACCAGTTCAGCCTACCACATGTGATACCACACACCTGTAGTAGTATGATTATATGCCACACAACAGGTCTGGTTCAAAAAGTTTATTATGGAAAAGGCGGAGGAGAAGGGTTATAGTCTGAGTGAACCGTGAGGGCAGAGAGAGGGGGACAGATAGTATGGGAGAGCATACGAGAGAAGAAAGTAAGTGGGGGGAGGCAGAGACAGTGAGTGTGAGAGAGAGAGCAGTGGGGTGGCAGGTGGGTTATATTCCGAACACCTGGCCCAGGTGATGACTAGGACGCAGGTGGTGACACAGCACATCATCAGGACCCTAAAGGCCCTTGAGGCGGGCCAATTGCCAGCACACCAACATAACAGTCCTTCCTTTTTGTTTATTTAAGAAATGTGGAATTAGGAAGGGGTGGAGAGAGAAAAACGCAAGATCACAAAAATGTCCAGGTTATATGGTGAGGAGGAAGGGAAGCCCTTGCTCTAGAAAGTTCAGAGTAGAGGGTGGAATTTGCCAGCCATGCCTGGCAGCAGGGAGGGACCTAATATATAGTCCCAGCATTTGGGAGGTAGAGTCTGAAGGTTCAAGAGTTTAAGGTCATCCTCAGCTTCATAGCAAGGTGGAGGCTTGCCCTGAGATATGTGGATCCCACATCAAAAATGAACCTGCTAAGCGGGATGTGGTGGTGCACAGGCAGGTGAATCTCCGAGCTTGAAGCCAGCCTGTTCTAATAGGCATGGGCACAACCAGGGCTATATAATAAACAACGAAATCCTCCCCCAAAGAAGCAAAACACATCCAGTCTATACTGTAGCAGTTTTCTTCCTGACACATAGATTATGAGTATAAAATTGTGCACCAACTATAAGCTGGAGAATATGCCAACTACTGTTACATATACTATCTTGTCAACTCCTATACCAAATGTCTTGGCTAGGTTTACTATTGCTATGGTAAAACACCATGACCAACGATGACTTGGGGAGGAAAGGGTTTATTTGGCTTACACTTCTACATCTTAGTTCATCACTGAAGGAAGCCAGGACAAGAACTCAAAAGCCAGGGACAGACCTGGAGGTAGGAGCTGATGTAGAGGCCATGTAGCAAACACATGGTTTGCTTGTCATGGTTGCTCAGCCTGTTTTCCTATAGAACCTAAAACCACCAGCCCAGGGGTGGTTCCATCCACAATCACTAATTAAGAAAATGTCTTACAGATGGATCTTATGGAGTCATTTTCTCAATTGAAGTTCCCTCCTTTCAGATACCTCTAACGTGTCAAGTTTGACATAAAACTAGCAAACATACTATATACAGTCTTATGAAATAGCTATTGCCCTGTTGATGAGATAAAGAATCTGAGCAGAGCGATGCTCTCAGTCCTTTTCAATGTGTTACATGTTGTGTCTCTGCAGAGTCTTTATCTCTGAGTGCCAACTTTTGCTCTACTTAAAAATATTTCAGTAGAGTAAAAGTTCACAACAAGCGTTCTAAGACTTGGAAAATTAATGTCTTTAACTGGGGCTGTCTTCCAGCTTAGAGGTTTAGTTTAGTCTGTTACCATCATGGCAGCATGCAGACATGGTGCTGGATCTAAGAACAGCAGTGCTCTTGATACTGAGCCATTTGCTCTGCCACGACCACCCCCTCTTCAGACACAGTATTACTTAGGTAATCCAGGCTGGCCTTGCACTGATTATATAAATGAGGCTGGCCTCGAACTCTGGTTCCTACTGCCTCTGACTTCTGACTGCTGGGATTGTAGGTATGCACCACTACACCCAGTTTACTTGGTGCTTAGGATTCAATCTAGAACTCTGTGAATGTTAGGCAAGTACTCACCAACTACACTACAGAAACAGGAAAATTTCTGCCTGTCAGCTCAAATTCTTGATCGTTCTGATGGCATTTTATAATAAGGAACACTGTTATTTGGAAACTGCCACTAATACCATGCCTGTAATAAGCTAGGTGGGTGGCACATGCTTATGTAATCCACGTACTAGATAAAGGCAGGAAAATTGAGAGACCAACCTGGGATACATAGTGAGACCCTGTCTCAAATAATAGTATACCTTATAATTCATAGCTAAAGAAAATAAATATAATTTAAAATTTACTGTTAAGGCAGACAAGATGACTCAGCTGTTAAAGGACTTGCAGTCAGACCTGATGATGTGAGATAAGTCACATGGTTGAAGCAGAGAAACAGCTCCCAGAAGTCTCTGGCCACCACACATAAGTGTTATGATATATGGTATTCCCACCCACATACACATATAGCACAAAGCAAATAAATATAATTAATTAAATTAACTATAAGTACTTCTATATTTATTTCATTTTCATTTAGATCTTTGTGTCAAAATTCTGAAAGAAGATAAAAATTGTCCAGGTTCTTCACAGTTAGTGAAGTGGTAAGTAAAAGAATACCTAAAGGCAGAAAATTACTATTTTTCTAATAATGCTTTTTGTACATTGAATATTTTCAATATATAACCAGATTTTAGTAATTACTCCATTAGCCCTGGGTACCATGTTTTTAGGTCTTTGGATTTATGTATTATTTTTTTTTATTTCATACTCCATGTGAATAGGATTTATTTTTTATTATAACAAATAGCTATCAAATAATTTATAGTTCCCCTTCTGTTTTCCCATCTCCATATTTCTGCATTGTTACAGGGGTTTTTGTTTGATTTTGTTGTTGTTGTTATTGTTGAGACAGTTTCACTATGTAGCCCATGGCTGTCCTTTGGAACTCACTGTAGACAAGGTTGGTCTTGAACCTAAGAGATTCACCTGCCTCTAGAGTGCCAGGGATTAAAGGTGCACACTACCACCATCTGACTGGTTTTTCATTTTTAAAGATTTTTTAAAATTTTATGTGTATGTGCCTGAGTGCATATATATGCACCATGTATGTGCAGAAGCCCAAAAAGAGCAGAAGAGAGTCTAAGAACCCAAAGCTGTAGCTACAGGCAGTTGTGAGCTGCCTTGTGGACCAAAACCCAGGTCCTCTACAAGAGTAGTAAGTAAGCCCTGTTAACCACTGCATCATCTCACCAACCCCTGTTGATGTTTTATTTTGTTCAGTTTTAAGCTAGTTAATAAGAAAGATGCTTTAATTTAGTTATTAGTTTATTTTGTAGGGCTAAATATAGAGATTTATGAAAATTATATTTTCTGAAAATATACTAAATATAAAAGCAAATCTTTGGCTTTTTTTAGGATGCTAGGATGCTATGATGCTTTACAGAAGAAATATGTAAGTCTTCACCTGTTTTTCCCTTCCTTCTAGCTACAAGATTTATCTAGCTACAAGATTTTTATGTAGTAAGACAATAATTTAAACTTGATATAAAACAGTCACAATTTTAAAAATTTGAGCATTTGAATATTTTAAAGATTTATTTTTATTTTTATATGAATGTGTCTATCTTTGTGCACATGTTTTCTGGTGCCTATGGAGGCCAGAATACAGGTGTCCGTGAGTCACCCAATATAGGTGCTGGGAACCAGATTCTAGTCTGTAAGAACAGCAAGCACTCTTAACTGCTAAACCATCTTTCAGTCTCACATTTGAATATTTTATTTATTTATTTATTTATTTTTGAGATAGGATCTCACTATGTAGTTCTGGCTGCCATGGAACTTGCTATGTAGACCAGACTGGCCTGAACTCATTAGAGTATTAAAGGCATGGATTTGAGTATTTTAAAGTCCAATCTTCAATTCATTTAATCTAATACAATCAATACTAAAAAAATTCTTCCAAGGTAAGTTTAACTCACTCATTAGCATTAATAGCACATATTAAATTACAAAAAAGAATTTAAATGTTTTAAAATACTGTCTTAGTTTTATATGTATTCTTCAACCATGCTTATGCTAATATTTTAATAATTTGTTCTGGTTTATGGGTTGTTTTTTTGTTTTGTTTTGTTTTTTTTTTGAGATGCTATAGTAGTTGAAAACAGCTTTGAATTTCTGATCCTCTTGTCTTTATCTCCCAAGTTCTAGGTTTGTAGGCATATACCATCATGGCTAGCAATAAGTAATAATAATTATTATCAAATAAAATAGGGTCTTACAATGTATTCCCTGACTGGCCTTGAACTCAGAGATCTATGTACTTCTCCCTCTGAGTGCAAGGATTAAAGGACTGTACCACCATACCTAGCCTATAGATTGTTTCTTAATTGGAATCTAAAAATAAGTTTCTTTGGGCTGAGGCTCTAGATTAGTGGCAGAGTACTTATCTAATGTGTACAAGGCCCTGAATTCAGTTCTTAGCACAGCAAAGTAAGTTTTCCCATGAGGTTCAAGTTAAATTGACAAAAAAATTCTGAGATGGTTAAATTTATATATGTTTCAGGTTTTGAGTCATAGTCTCACTCTGTGCCAGAGCTAGCTTGAACTCATATAGCTCAAGCTGGACTTGAACTCATGTCAGTATGCAAAAGTCCTGAAACTTTGTGGGATTTTGTTGTTGTTGTTGTTTTAAAGACAGGATTTCTCTGTGTCTGGCTGTCCTGATAAACTTACTCTGTAGCTTAGCCTGGCCTCTAACTCAGAAATCCACCTGCCTCTGCCTTCAAAGTACTTGGATCAAAGGTGTGAACCACCACTGCCCAGCAGTAGTGAAATTTTAATTAAGATTTTGCAATAGACTGTTGACCAGTTTCTGCTTCTGGCCTTAGGGTTTCCAAGCACTGGTGCACACTGGGCAGGAAGGAATGAAGCCTCGTGGGGTGGTTGCACACGATGTTGCTGTGAGTTCAGGAGAAACAGCCATCTCTGACAGTTTTCAGTGAAACATCTCACTTTATTGGGGGTGAATAAGGATTATATGAACCTTGGGGAGTGGGTAGAGGTATTTGTGGTGAGTATATTTCATTGGCTGGGTCCAAGGTGCTGGAAATGCTTCATTTACATGAAGAGGAATTCCAGGTGCTAGCTGGACACATCCAGATAGAAAGTTTAACCTGAAACCTAGCCATCAGGCTGTCTGACTACCTGAAGGGTGGCAGAGATGGGGATCCTGCAGACTATATGAACCGGGACATGCAGGCCCAGAGCATGGAGAAAGCAGTCCTACCCCTGCCAGTCTCAGGAAAGGATTTTCAGGTTCCAACACATCTCGACCTCACTCTTGTTCCAGACCAACTCTCCTGGTAGCATGGCTTTCCGGCCCCACAGTAAACTACAATCCTTTATGTATAGTATCATTTTAAGCAGTATGTATAGAGAAGTCTAGTTCTAGCAGAATTGTGAAGATGACTTTTTATCCCCAGTCTCTACTTTTTCCATTGAGACAGTAAATATAGAACACTATATACATTCTGGCACCTAGGAGCATTGGTAAGCAGGAATGGTTAATAAAACTGCTAATCTCAGCAGTCTGAAGGCAGAGGAAGTAGATCTCTGAGTGAGTTCTAAGACAGCCAGGACTACACGAGAAACCCTGTCTCATACAACAGTAACAACGAAGAAGTAAATACTTTCCAATAGTGTTAAATGCCATTATAAGTTTTAGGAAAGCTATAAGGAATTGGAATAACGTTTATAATTTATTTCTTTTCTGAGGCAGGGTCTCACTTTGTAGCTCTGACAGCCTGAAACTCACTATATAGACCAGGCTGGCCTCAAACTTAGAGATCTCTTTTCCTCTGTCTCTTGAGCACTGGGATTAAAGTGTGTGCCACTACACCTTGTAACTGGCAGTAATGTTCTATTTGACTAAGTCAGTGAAATAAAATATTAACATGAGCTAACCCATCAGAAAGCCAAGTGAAAGATTATTTGGGAGAATAGACATATGAAGCATATCTTCCACGGTGGTTACTTGTTTTTAGAAATAAATGTTGAGTGATGGGTGTGCTGGTACAGACTTTTAATTCTAGCAGTCAGGAGACAAAAGCAGGTAGGTCTCTACAAGTTCAAGGCCAGCCTGGTCTACATAGCAAGTTCCAGAACGGTCAAGGCTACTTAGTGACACTGTGTTTGAAAAGTCACCATGCTGCTGTCCTCTCCACAACAAAAAGCAGAAGAAAAGAAAAAATGTTGAACTAGAACAAAAATTGTTTACTGGGGATGGGGGACCGCTAAAGATTGAACTCAGTGGGCTAAGTGGATGCTCTACTGCTAAGTTAGAGTCCAAGCCTCTGAACAAGTACAAAGAATTTTTATGATCCATCATGAAAATGTATTTTATAGAATACAATTAAGATTTTTTTGTTTTCTGTTGTGTTTCAGCTAAGGATGATCATTCTAGCTGTAAGTACTTTTAAATTGTATCTTTTAACACTGCCACATTTTCCCTTTATTAAATAACACTGAAACTATTAGATTATTTATGTTACTTTATTTAATCAGCTGGTGTATCCAGTGGAAAAAAAAAAAGTAAACTTATCGAGAGGGTTACTTTGGGCTTTTGTTTGTTTGTTTCATTGAATCAACTGAATACTTTAATGTCCAATTTTCTCCAAAGTAAGGACTTTACTTAATTGTGATTCATTTTACGTAGGTGTACACCAATCCAGAAGATCCTCAGGTAAGTGTGCTTGAGCTGGAAGTGTTATAACTGCGGTGTTTCCAGTAGCTAAACACAGACTCTCTTAATAGTGGCGCTGCTGCCTCTACCTCCTGGGGCTACAGGTGTGGCCTACCACTCTCAGGTTTTGGGGTTTTTTTTTTTAAATTATTTTTATTTTATTGTTATATTGGGGGTTGAACATGCTAGTCAAGATCTCTGCCACAAAGCCCAGCCTTTGGAAGAATTGTGTGCGTATTCTGTAGTAGGCTTTATTCTTTGGAGCATTGTGGGTATTAGCCCTCATTATTCATCATAACCTAATTGGAATTACTGTTACCACTTACACATTAGGAATGTGTGGTTTTTGTATCTATATGTACACACACAGGTTGTGCACACAAGAGGGCTGTCCTACTTTATCACTTTCCTTATTCCTTTGAGATAGGTTCTTTCAGTGAACCAGGAGCTTGGCTGTTGGCCAGCAAGCCCTAGTGATCCTCCTGTCCTGCTCCCTCACAGTGTTAGGATTACAGGTTCATGCAACCACACTCAGCAGTTTTTACATAGTTCTGGGAATTTGGAATTCTGCTGCTCATACTTGTGTATCAAGCTCTTTCACCAGCTGAACTATTTCTGTGGATTCAAGTTCAAAGTTTCTTACCTAAGGTTGTATGGCAGGTGAGACAAAACCAGAATTTAAACTAGGAAAACCAGCTTACCATCTAGGGGTTTTGACCATTACAATGTAATGTTTCACTTAGTCCTGAAAGCATATTTAAACTGATCAGGGCTGAGGATGTGGCTCGGTTGGTAGAAAGTTCATCTAACTTATACAAAACCTAGGTAAAACTAGATGTGGTGGCATACACATGAAATCCCAGAACTTGGGAATTGCTGTCAAGAGGATCAGAAATTCGAGGTTATCCACTACATAAAGAGATTGAAGCCAACCTGTGATACTCAAAACTCTGTAATAAATAAATAAAATTATTTTTTGAAAGAGAGTTTATCTCTATTCCTAAGTATATACTGACATGCAAAGCGAGCAAATATTTTCCACACTTAGCTGAAGTGCTATTGGCAGTTAATTCATTGTTGCTGAGGGTAGGAGAGTCATTTTTCTTCAGTGAAAACCACTGGTAAATTGTCCATGACTTGTCTACATAATAACCCATGCCCATGCAGAAAGTTCTAATTAAACACAGTAAATTTTTTTAAACTAAATATTACAAGCTTGAGAAGGACTGACTGTGTGTCTTTTCTTTGAAACTCAGGCCAACAAGTAATGCTTAATATATGTCCATAATGACAGAACAGATTGTTTGAGGGAAAGGCTATGATTAAATTAGTTGTTCAAAAAAATATTCATTACTAGGTTTTTGGTTTTGTTTCTTGAGACAAGGCCTCTTTATATAGCTCTGGCTAGCATAGAATTCACTGTGTAGAGTAGGCTGGCCTTGAACTCACCAAGATCTGCCTGCCTCTGCCTCCAAGTGCTAGTATTAAAGGTATGTGCCATGATGCCAAGCTTTATTACTCTCTTTTTATAAGTTGTGCTTTTTTTTTTCATTAGTAAGTAAGCAGCCTCACTGTGCACTAGTTGTACTTATTAAATATTTATTGTGTGCTGTCAACTTTGTTAAGGGCTCTATAAATTAACCATTTGATAATTTATACTTAGTAATAAGACAGCTCCTATCTCCACTTCCTTTCTTAGGTAGGAAAACAGAATGTTTAAATGGTTTACATGTGGTTATAGTACAGCCAGGATTAAAACCTCCTGGATTTGGTCACATAGGCCTCATACTTTTGATCCCAGCACTCAGGAAAGAGAGACAGGCATAATCTCTGTGAGTTCAAAGCTAGCCTGGTCTGCTTACTAAACCATTTTGAGACCAGTCAGGGCTACATAGTGAGACCCTGTCTTTAAAAAGTTGTGGGGTTTTTTTGTTTGTTTTTCTTTTGTTTTTTAATCTGTGTTTGCTGGATGTGGTAGTGCATGGCTATTATCACAGCACTTTGGAGGTGTAGCCAAGAGGCACTAGAGTTCGATCAATCCTTAGCTACAAAGTAAGTTCAAGGAAAACCTAGACTCATGACCAAAAAATAATGATGAAAATAATAACAAAAATAAATAACAATGGTTAGTATCTGGTTTAGTTCCTTTTCTATTCCAGAGAGTTGGTAATTTATAAAGAATAAAGGTTTATTCCATTTATGATTCTGGAGGCTAGGATCTAAGGTTATTAATTTATTTCTTCTAGTTGTAAATGTTGGAAAATCCAACATCTAGGGTTAAACAAAATTTAATAATGAAATTCTTTGTCTCTCCTCTGTCTCTCTCTCACAAACACACAAACAAACACACACATACTCAATGGAAGAGAGAGACATACACAAAGACATCTTTTTATAAGGAACACACACCATATTTGATGCATGTCTGTGATAACTGAATTAGTCTATTTAGTTAACTCATGAGGGCAGGGTCGGATTAACCCTGTGGTTCTCAGCCTGTGAGTCTCAACCTTTTATTTGGGGTGGGGGAGTTTCAGATGACCCTTTTCACATGGGTAACCTAAGATCATCGGAAAACACAGACCATAGCAAAATTACAGTCATGAAGTAGCAACAGAAGTAATTTTATGGTTACTGGTCACCACAACATCAGGAAATGTATTAAAGGGTTGCAGCATTAGGAAGGTTGAAAACCACCACCTTAACCTAATTACTTCTTTAAGGTCACATTCCTTTACTATAGATAGTCAATAGTCAAGCTAGCTGGGTCAACTGAAAAAGCATCAACTTTTTTATTTGATTGTCCTATCTAGTGGGCTCATTTAGGTTAATAACAAAAAAGCTGTAGATTTGATGGGTGTTAACTTAATGCACTCTTTTTCCTTTTGTTTAGCACTAGTTGAACAAATTGGCTTCAACTGCCTTTTCTGCTAAAAACAACCAGCCTAGACAGTGTGCAAAAACAGTGTCATTAAGAATTGTGACTTCAATTTAAAAGGCATCCCTTTTCACTTCCAGAAAAAAAAAAAGTCCCATTCCTAAAATTGTTGCACTGGGGACTTAAGTTTGCAATAAACAAACTTCTCAGGCAATTCAAACCTCAGCCCTTACCCACTCTGCTTAGGTATGGTTCCTTTCTCATTTACCTTCTGGAGCATTCCTACCAGATATCTATATTAAGCAGTATAATGCCAGAAACTCTCCACAGCTGAAGTACCAAATCCCAGACCATAGTCAGTATTAACTATGAGCACTTGAAAACTCCAGTGAAGCAATAGGAATTGACACATTGGAGAAAACTGCTGACTGAATGTTGGAAAGCAATGTGTAACATTGGCATCAATTACATAACTGCAGTGTTTTCTATTTAAGACAATTTCAGAATGTTACCAGTTTAAGTTCAAGTACACCAAAAATGGACCAATCATGGACTTTATAAGGTACTGTTCAATCATTTTCCATTATCAGTTGTCACTTACTAATGCTATTTAGCTAGATTTCAAAGTTACTTCTGAATTTTTCAAATTTCCAGTTAGCAATTTGGCTTTACAAAATGGAGTAGTAGAATGTGAGGTTGATGTAGCTGTGACATCTGTCACCCATTGTTGATCTCCAGGATTAATTTGGCTGATTTGGTTGCCTAGCTTGGTGGTCCCTTCCTTTATCACCTCTCCCAGTGATTCCCTCCCAAAGTTTCAGACTCAGTTAAAGATAGTAGAAGATTGTTCTTCACTTAGGGTTTATAAGTAGTTCTGATTTTTCTGCTGGAATCCCCAGAAAAGCTCTCAGAATTGGAGCAAGGCTTAGAATGCCACAAGAAAAGATTATGTGGTAATTATATACTATTTTAATTATAAAAAATATTTGAATGGTTAAAAATATTTAAAATCCACCATTTATTTTCTTTAAACACTTTGTATAAAATGTATATTTGTTTATAATATTAATAGTGATACTAAATTTTATAATAGTGACATTAAAATTTTGTGGTAAGTTTCAATCTAGTAACAGTATTTTAAAAGAATAATCTCTTTCTTATGAAAGAAATTGATTTCTGATTCTTTTCTAGCAAAAATCAAAACAATAAATCTAGTACAACATCTGCTGACACCAAGAAAGCAAGTATTCTCCTCATTCGGAAGATTTATGTCCTAATGCAAAATCTAGGACCTTTGCCTAATGATGTTTGTCTGACCATGAAACTTTTTTACTATGATGAAGGTACTACTTGTAGAATGTCTTGTTTTAGTTTTATTATTTCTTTTTTTATTTTTTATGGTTTATTTTTATTTTATGTGCACTAGTGTTTTGCCTGCATGTATGTCTGTGTGTTGGTGCTAGATCCCCTGGAGCTGGAGTTCCAGACAGTTGGAAGCTGCCATGTGGGTTGAGAATTGAACCCGGGTTCTCTGGAACAGCAGACCATGTCCCTTTTTTTTTTAACACCAACATGCCAGAAGAGGGCACCAGATCTCATTATAGATGGTTATGAGTCACCATGTGGTTGCTGGAAATTGAATTCGGGACCTTTGGAAGAGCAGCCAGTGCCCTTAACCTCTGAGCCATCTCTCCAGCCCCTAGTTTTATTATTTCAAAAATTGTTTTCCATGTCCAATGTTTCGGCACCTAAATTGTTAAAAGGTCTTTGAAATTAGAAAAGTTTCATTTAATATGAGTATTTGAAAAAGAAACATTGGGGGAGGGAGAGTTGACTCCGGTTAAGAGCACTTACTGCTCTTGCAGAGAACTAGAGTTTGGTCCTCAGCGCCAGTTGTGTAGGGTGACAGAAATGCTATAACTCCATGTCCAGGGTGATCCAGTGCCCTCCGCTGGCCTTCCTAGACACCTGCATTCATGTGGGCAAGACAGACACACACACACACACTGAAATAAATAAAACAAAATAAATATTGAAAAACAGAAAATATTTTCAAAAGTAGGATTTAAGATGCATTTTTCTAGTGAAAGGAACATATCTATAGGAAATGTAACATAAAGAAATGAAATGTTTATTTTTCTTTTACCAGATAGTAAAACTTGTAATCCCAAAATTGAGAATTCTCTTAAACATTTTCGAAGGGGCATATGGTGATAGTGTGTGCCTTTAGTCTCAGCACTCAGGAGGCAGAGGCAAGAGGATCCAATCTTTGAGTTCAAGGCTGGCCTTATCTACAGAGTGAGTTCGAGGGCAATCAAGGCTACACAGAGAAACACTCTTAAAAACATGCATGCATACATGTATACATACATACATACATATATAAATTCTTAAGAGAATGCATGAAGAACCATCGTTTTCAGAAGACATTTTAAATACAAAAAAAATTGGGTTTTGACATTGCACTACGGTGCAGGGTGGGGTCAGCCATGTTATGTTTATATGTTTAGTAAACATTTGAGCCACTGCATTCTTTTTTCTTGTGGTTCTTTTTTTTTTTTTTTTTTGGGGGGGGGGTTGGTTGGTTTTGGTTTTTCGATACAGGGTTTCTCTGTGGTCTCAAATTCACAGAGATCCACCTGCCTCTGCTCCCCATTGCTGGGATTAAAGGCCTGTGCCATGGCTGGACATTCTCAGCATCAGCTATGTAGAAGTGTTTTGTTGTCTTCTCCATTCATCATGCTGGAATACCCTAACCCCGAGTTCACTGCCCACACAGTGGGTCAGCATGGTATGAGAGCCAGCTGAACAGATATTTCAGGACATTTCTATTTTTTCTGCAATAGTTGAGTTTATCTATGGGTATGTGACTGAACTGTTTGAGTGGCCTGTCTATATAGTTATAGGCAGATTTGCTTTCTCATTTTTGCTGACACCTCTATGGGCCATTTCTCACTGACATCCCTGAAATGTTTAATATGGACTTAAACTGCCTTTTTTTTTTTTTTTTTTTTTTTTTTTTGAGACAGGTTCTCTCTGTAGCCTAAGCAGACTCAAATTTTCTACATAGACCAGGCTGGCCTCTAACTTAAGGGTTCCTCCTGCCCATGCCTCCCAAGCTAGAATTAAAGGCATGCATGCACCATCATGTTCATGCCCAGCACCACCTGTGTTCTTACAGGGCAGTGTGTAAAGACTTAGTTGTCTGTGTTTCACTTTTAGTCTAGTTATGTTTTCATTTTAAAACTGCTTTGCATCATCTCTTCATAATTTTGTTTTGGAAAACAAAATGTAAGTACGCAGTATTTCAGGTATATATAATGAATAAACACCTCATAACTGGTTTTAAAAAAACAAAGATTTTGGTTCTGTGATGCTGCGGATTGAATTTAAGGCCTTGCGTGTGCTACATAAGCATTCTACCATAAAGCTGTATCTCTCAACTCAAATTTTAATATTTTACTTTATAAACTATATAGCTAGAAAAAACTTTTTAGAATAGCTAGCACAAATATCTATATCCAGGGTTGTGTATTTATAAGAATTTTCAGTATAGCAGTGGTTAAAATAAGAATAAACAAGTAGAGTGTTTTCCTAGAAGACTGAGTAAATAAATTATGTTGCAACCATATAAAAATATAATCTGAAGATTTAAAATCACAGAGGAGCTGCAGCAGTGCCCTCATTGCTGGCCGGCCCCTTGTGCTTGTAGGGTGCAGAAAAGGAAGAGCTAGACATGACCATCCTGCATTTTTAAAGGATATTTAAAGAATATTAAGGATATATATTTCTTAAAATGTATACAACATGAAAGATACTTATATGCATAATATTTTCTGTGTTAATATAAAACATTGTATTTTATTAATAAAGCAGCAACAACTTTTAACAATTACTCATTCTGTGTGTGCTCAGTTCTAAATGCTTTATACTTTACTATTTTATATCTTGTGGATAGGTATTGTTATTTTCCTCATTTGACAAAGAAAGGAAACCAAGAATGATAATTTCCTCAGTCATGCAGTCAGTCAAAAAAAAAAAAAAAAAAGAAGTTATCCTTAAAGAGTGGACTTCTATAGGAGGAGCATCTCTGCATTTTAGCTTAGGTTCTTAGGTTCCATCAGAATTTAGTCCTTCTGTGTTTTTATGAATAGTTCAGCTTCTTCAGTTTTATAAATAGTACAATTTATACTTCCTTTTTTGCAGTTACACCCCCAGATTACCAACCTCCAGGTTTTAAGGTTGGTGATTGTGAAGGAGTAATATTTAATGGGGATCCTACATACTTAAATGTGGGAGAAGTCCCGACACCTTTTCACACCTTGAGATTAAAAGTGACCACTGAGAAAGAACGAATGGAAAATATTGATTCAACAATACTAACACCAAAACAATCAAAAATACCATTTCGAAAAATTCTAATGGACAAAGATGATGGAGATGATGAAGATCATGTAAGTGGGAACATATGTAAAGAATGACAAAGTACAATAGCAAACATTGGATTTGAGAACTTTAATAGATATTAATGTTTCTGTAAATACTGTATTAAAAGCATGAAGCTGGAGAACTTTTATTTTGAGATTGGATCTATGCTGATGATGCAGGAGCAGTTTTCTGATTGCTAGGCCTGTCCCTTGAGCACTTTACCTGGTGCGTCACATCACAGGCTTCTGTTTGTAGAATGCAGTTTTTATAGCTCAGTTCATCTGCTACCTTGCCATGTAGCTGAGGCTGTCACTGAACTTCTAATCCTCCTGCCTACACCTCCTAAGTGTTGGGATTGAAGGTATGAACCACCATGCCAGCTAGACTTTTTGTAGAATTCTTTAAAATATTTGAGTTTTAGGCTGAAGGAAATCATTCGATAGGTAAAGTTTCTGCTGCACAAGCACGAAAATGTGTGTGACCAGTTTTTCAGAGCCCGTGTAAAAGCTGCATATGATTGTGCAAATCTGTAACTTTGCTCTGAGGTAGGAGTCAGGGCAAGAAACAGGAGGACTCCAGGAATTTGTTGGCTGAAACACTGATCTTCAAGTTTAGTCAGTGATAGACTCTGTCTCAAAAATACGTAAATAAGCGTGGGGGTGTAAATCTTTAAATGTTAATACTCAGAAGGCAGAGGCATTCAGATAATGATCAAGGCCAGTGTGGCCTCTATAGTAAGTTCCAGACTAGGCAGGGATAAAGTGAGACCCTGTCTCAAAAACAAACAAGGTAAAGAAATACACAGGCAAATAGCCTATATCAACTTCTGGCCTCCATGCTTCATCCCCTAACGTGTGCATACATGCATGCATGTACATCAAACACAAAATATTTGAGTTTCTCTTACACATATCACAAAGGAAGCTGTTGGACCCCACTATTAAGGTTGTAGTCCACTATGTACAGAAAGCCCCTGAGCTCCACAAAATGGAGGATTTCCTTTGTCAGTGGGACTTCCTCTTCTCTGCCTGGGAAGCCCAAACCTCTGTACCATTCTACCTAAGGAATGTCACAAAGGCCTTAGAGAAGTTAATAGGGTCAACTTTCTTTCTCCTGATAAGAACCCGATCAACAAGCATCTAGGATTCTTGGAATGCCTCTCCATACAAAAGAGGCATCTCGGTACCTTAACTCCTCAGCCAATGATGTACACCCACTCTAGAAATCCCATTCCCCAAGGTTCATATTGTACATGTTCACCCCAATAAAGTACACGCAAGCTGTTACACTATCATCTAAGACAGCTTAAACTGGTTATTTCTACCGTACCATAACTTTCATCCTCCACTGACTTCCTAAAAAGGTTTGACATAGTCAGTTATATGTGTAACTTGTGTAAACATACTTAATTCAATGCTCTCAAACAATGATAAGATCAAGGATTTAGAATAAGCACACATTTTTGAAAAATATGCTTTTTTGTTAATTACCCTTAAAGCAACCAGAAAAAGTAAAGAAAATAATTTATATTTTGTTTGCATAAATAAGTTGGCTGGTGGTTTGGGCATGGTGGCACATGCTTTTAATCCCAGCACTCAGGAAGCAGAAGTAGATGGATATGAGACCAGCCTAGACTACAAAGTAAGTTCCAGGATAGCCAAAGCTGTTACACAGAGAAACCCTGTGACCAAAAAACAAACCTTGTAGTAGTAACTCTAGCACCATTTGTATTTCTAGAAAGCTTAAGATAGTTGTATTTATCTTAGTTGTATTAATATTTTACATAAAGCAAATATCTTCATTAGTATTCTTACCTAATTGTTCTCATTTATTTTAAAATATGTCTAATTTTTTCGTATTTATGTAGAATCATTTTGACATTAAAACTAAAATGGATGAACAGAAAGAAATCTCAGAAGCTTCTAAAATCAAAGGTAAGAAGCTAACAAAAAAATGTTTATATAACTACCAACTCAATTTTATTCCATTTTAACTTTCTTTTCTTTTTTTAACAGAACAAAATTTAGATTGTGAGGAAGAAGAAATTATGCAGTTCCAAAAAAACCCAAGTCCTTCAGTTTCTCCTTGTCAGGTATAAACTTGATAGTTCCATCTGGCTTTCAATTTCGTTTTGTCTAGTTTTGCATTAGCTATTTGTTTGAGACAGGTTCTTACAATGTACCCTATATGGCCTAGAACTCGCTAAGTAGTCCAAGCTGGCCTCGGGCTTGTAGCCATGTGTAGAGGGATTTTAATCTAGCAACATGGCTGCTCTGGCAAGGGATCATATCTAAAGACCTAGGTTTGTGTGATCCAGCTGGAATACAGACATGCTGTTAGTACACGTTTAATACTTCTGGCTGGAATTTAGTACACACCTTTAATTCCAAACAGTATTGTCTAATTGAAGAGCAGACAAAAGTGATGAGTCAGAGAAAGATTTGACAGAATGAGTTAGAAATAGGATATGCTCAACTCTCAGGAGAACAGACAGGAAAGAGAAGCTAATTAAGAGCAGTGCAGAGAGAGAGCAGGAGCGTTCATGGAGACAGCACAGTGGAGAGTTCAGGAGTGCAGTGCAGTTCGGATCATTTGAGTGCAGTTGTTTGTGCAGTTCAGTTCGAGGGATTCGGAGGCAGATTTTCCAGGCAGAGCAATTCAACAAGAAGCAGAGAGAAGCCAGTTCGAATCAGAGGAGTTTTGAACCAGAACAGTTAAGTTGAACCAGCCAGCCAGAGTTCAGAAAGAGCTAGAAAGGGTGAGCTTATTCAGCAGTAACTTTCAGAGGCTGAAAACATTCTAGGCCTAGGTTAATAGACAGAGGCTGGAGGCTGAAGCCCTCAGGGTCCAGGTTTACAGAGGATTAGATTGTGTGGAGGCTAGAAGCTTCCAGGCCTAGACCTTGGGATAGTAAGAAATGCTCTGGGCTCAGCCCAAGCCATGTATTCATAAAGCTTAGGTACAGATCTTATCTCATCCCCCATATGAAGAAATAAAAACATTTACAGCCATATTCCTATGTCTGTTTCAACACCGGGATTATAGATGTGAACCATCACATTTGGCTTTAAATTGTTTTTAGATTTGTTTATTTTATGTGTTTGAGTATTTTACATTTATTTGTATGGCATATGTATGTGAATGTCTGATACACATGGAGACTAGAAAAGGACATCAGGTACCCGGGGGCTCTAGTTACAGCCAGTTGTAAGCCACCCTGGTCTTCTGTAAGAGCAGCCAGTGCTCTTTACCATTGAGCCATCTGTCCAACCCCATGTTCTTTTCTTTAAAAAGATGGTTGCTTATATGCTTATTTCATAATTTCTCAGATTTTCTTATCTTAGGTGTTATAGAATAAAAGTTGGCATTTAGATAAATTATTATAGATAAAATTATTATATGTTTAAAAGATTTTTTAGAGGGGCATAGGAGGAGATGAGGGAGGGAGGGGAGGATTGGAAGGGGAGGAGGGAGGGGACTACAGCTGGGATACAAAGTGAATAAACTGAAATTAATATAAAAATAAAAAATTTAATTAAAAAAGTTTAAATCATGCAAAAAAAAAGAAAGAAACAAAACCCAAACATGGAAAAGAAAAAGATTTTTTTAGAGATGGGCGTGGTGGCGCATACCTGTGATGCCAGTACTCATGGAAGCAGGGGCAGGCCAGCCTGGTCTACAAAGTGAGTCCAGGACAGCCAAGGCTACACAGAGAAACCCTGTATCAAAAACAAAACAAAAAAAAAAAAAAACAAAAACAAAATTTTAGTATATTGCATTATTTATGTATAACATTTATTTATGTTGATAAATAAACCTTAAGGTGTTTATAGAAGGCCAATGAAATAGCTCAACAGGTAAAGGGACTTGCTATCAACCTGATGACCTCAATTTGATTCCTAGGACTCACAGGATGGAAGAAAAAGACCAAGTCTGTCAAGATGACCTCTGATCTCTAACATAGTGGTGTACATTCTTCTATCCCCAATAAATAAATATAAAAATATTAATGCTCATAAACTCTTAACAGTTTCAGAGCTTACACATTTTTTTTGTTTGTTTGTTTTTAGGGATTGAGAGAGGGTCCTATTATGTAACCTTAGCTAGCCTAGAACTCACTAGACTAGACTGGCCCCAAATTTATGGCAATCCTCCTCCTTCTGTCTCTTAAATATTGGGATTAGAAGTGTGAGCCACAGCCTGACAGTGATGGCGCACACCTTTAATCCCAGGACTGGGAAAGCAGAGGCAGGTGGATCTCTGGGTTCAAGGCCAGCCTGTTCTACAAAGAGAGTTCCAGAACAGCCAGGGCTACAGAGAGAAACCTTGTCTTGAAAAATAAAAAAAAAATTTTTTTTTAAATAAATAAGTTTAAGCTTCTATGTCCAGCACAAGATAGTAAACTTTATGTAGTTTGTTTTTGGTTTTTTGGTTTTTCAAGATAAGGTTTCTTTATGTAGCCCTGGTTGTCCTGGAACTCGTGCTGTAGAGCAGACTGGCACATAGATTCCCCTGCTTCTGCCTCTCAAGTGCTGGGATTAAAGGTATACACTACTACCACCCAGCTGTGATTAATATTTTGACCCCACTTATAATGAGTTTTATTATGGTATGTTATATGGTTTTGTGAAATGTCTTTTCTAGGTTGAACAGTTAGTAAGTAAAACATCTGAACTTGATGTGTCTGAAAGTAAAACAAGAAGCGGAAAAATCTTCCAGAGTAAAAGGGTAAATAATTATGTAATTCACCCTTCATGTGTGAATTTTTCAGCATTTCTTTCTTGTTTGTTTGGTTGGTTGGTTTTGAGACAGGGTTTATAGACATAGGTATATAGATGTCCTGGAACTTACTATTTGTATGCCAGGCTGATCTTAGAGAGATCTGCCTGCCTCTGCCTGCTGGTATTATATTTGCTCACTACCACACCTTACCATTTTATAGCATTTTTAAATGATTTATTTTTATTTTATGTGCATTGGTGTTTTGCCTTCATGTATGTCTGTGTGAGAATGTCAGATCCTCTGAAATGAAGTTACAAACAGATATAAGCTGCCATGTGAATGCTGGAAATTAAACTTGGGTCCTCTGGAAGAGCAGCCAGTGCTCTTAACAGCTGATTCATCTCTTAAACCCCATATTTTCAAATATTTCTTAAATAGCTAATCTGTTATGTGTTAGCTACATACTAGAGGCTAAGGACACACACACACAGAGAGAGAGAGAGAGAGAGATAACATTGTTTCCAATACTCACTAAAGTATGGTAGCTGGATGGAAACGATGATACAAGGTCATTATAGAGATCATAATAGATTACATGGAGGTGCAAAGAAAAGAATGGAAATTTTAGTCAAAATACATTATTTTTTATTTTAGTCAAAAAACATGAAGAATCTGAAAAAAAGTTTTGAAAAATGATTTTATCTAGACTCCTAAGGAAAATTTCTAGACTACCAGGAAATTCCCATGTTCTATTTTGTATTTTTTGTTTGCTTGGTTGGTTTTGGTTTTTCAAGACAGGGTTTCGCTGTATAGCCCTGGCTGTCCTAGAACTCACTTTGTAGACCAGGCTGGCCTTGAACTCACAGAGATCCACCTGCCTCTGCCTCCCAAGTGCTGGGATTAAAGTTAAGTGCCACCACTATCACCAGGTCCCGTGTTCTATTTTGTAAATTTATTATCCTGTCATTAGAAATTGATCTTTTGTAGACATCTTACATAAATTTCATTAAGCAAAAAAAAAAAAAAAAACAAAAAAACAAAACAAAACAAAACAAAAAACAAAAAAAACCTCAGTTTTAGTTTTCATAGCTAATTTTACTAAGTAGAAGTTTATATTTGATTTGATTTGTCAAAACAAGCTCTGAGGTAACCTAAATTGGTATTGAAGTCACTATGTAGCTGTGAATGGCCTTAAATTCTTGTTCCACCTGTTTCTGCTTTCAGTGTACAATGCCGATAGCTGTGTTCTCCATGCCTAGCTGATATTTTACTTTAGACCTTAAGTTACTCTCAAGGATTCAGGAGTGGAAAAAAGCATCTATAAAATATTTTCAGAGTTAGGGAACAAAAAGCAACTTTGTCATTGCTATGCTAAAACATAGATTTTTAACGTCTTGTTTAGTGACATCATAATGGCAGCTTGACATTGAACATTCACAGAGTGGATATTCACAGCCTAGAAATCAACAAATGCCTCAGGACTTCTCCCGTAGAGCTAATTGTAAAGTATCTCATGGAGTAGCAGTAATTATACTACTTTGTTTATGTGTATCTTTCTTCCCCACGTTTTCAGTAGGAAGTTAGAATTAGCAGAAGGTAATACTCAAGTTAGTACGCTGATGAAAGCAAGGAACAAATTAACATAAGCTAGATATGGTGGTGTATACCTGTTATCCCAGCACTTGAAAAATGGGTTCAGAAAAGAGCTGAGTTTGAGGCCACCTTGGGCTACATGGTGCCTTGCAGGCCAGCATGAGCTACAGGATGAAACTCTACCAAGAGGGACCTCAGGCATGGGGATGGGCCTTGGAGGAGAGATACAAAATTAGAAAAGTCAGGTATCATTACTTCCAGCATCAAAATGTTCTTTTTAGCTAGCTTCAACTTAGTAAGAATATCTTTTACTAGGATCTAAGAAGAGAGGTAACATTCAAAATAATTTTTAAGCCCAGTGTGGTTTTACATACTTGTAATCCTACCACTCAGAAGGCTGAGGCCAGAGGCTTGCCACAAATTCAAGGGCAGCCTGGTCCACATAGTGAGACCATGTCTCAAAACAAAAACCACTGCTGAGCGGTGGTGGCACAAGCCTTTAGTCCCCAACACTTGGGAGACAGAGGCAGGCAGATCTTTGAGTTTGAGGCCAGCCTGATCTATAGAGTGAGTCCAGGACAGCCAGGGCTACACAGAGAAACTCTGCCTCAGGAAAAGAGAGAGAGAGAAAGAGAGAGGGGAAGGAAGGAAGGAAGGAGAAAGAAAGAAAGAAGGAAAGAAAGAAAGAAAGGAAAAGAATCTTATTAGGCAAAATTTCTCACTATGCAGCCCTGCCCACTATAGAGACTAGATTGCTTTCAGCCTCACACAGATCCACCTGCCTCTGTCTCCTTAGTTCCGAGATTAAAAGTGTGCCTTACTATGCCTGGCAATAAAACTACTTATAAGAAGGTGTTCTTGGAATGTAACATTAAGATGTTTTGAGGCTACACTAACATTTTGCATACTTTTAATTTTTAAAAATTTCATTCCTACATGTGTGTGGATACACATGTGCCATGGCATGTGTGTGGAAATGAGAGCCCTGTGGGAGTCAGCCCTTTCCACCAGGTGAGCCCTGGGCTCAAGCTCTGGATGTAATGCGTGGTAGCACGGGTTTTTAACTGGTGAGCCATCTTGCTGGGCCAAGTTGGAAATTCTTTTATATCAGCTGTTAGCAAGAGTACTCCTGATGTTGCAAATTATAACAAAAGGCTTTAAATGGTCAAGAAATAAAGACATTTAATAGTATTGAGATTTCAGGGACTGGAGCGATAGCTCAGTGGTTAAAGTTGTTTGCTGTTCTTCCAGAGTACCCAAATTCAGTTCCCAACACCCATGTTGGGTGGCTCATAACTCTGGTACCTGCACACACATGGCATATACATTCACGCATAAAGAAAATATAAAAATTTAACATTAAAAAAAGAAAAGAGGATTTCAGCAGTGTTGGGAATCCAGGGCCTTACACATGCAAGACACTGAGCCATACCTCCAGCTGAAGAGGAAACTTCAAGCATAAGAAAAGATGTATCAGGATGGTGTCAGAAACCTATAATCTCAGCACTCAGGAGGCAAAGACAAGAAGATAGTAAATGTTCAACCAGCCTGGGTTACTTGACAACTTTGTGGCTACATAGTACAACATTGTCTCAAAAATTCTGTCAAATAATGTAAAGCAAGAAGTATATCCCTTTAGAGAAGAGTAACATAACAATAATTTTCCACTTTCCAATACTTAATAACTGTACATGACATTAATTGCTGTTGTTAAGAAGTAGAAGAAAATAAATATCCACCAAAAAAAAAATTGGATAAACAAACTGTTATAGCCATACAGTGGAATTATCCAGCCTTAAAAGGAATAAAACATCAATTCACATAATTGGTTGAAAGAAGCCAAATGAGAGGTCCCATGGACTGGAGAGATGACTCAGAGGTTAAGAGCACTGGCTGCTCTTCCAGAGGTTCTGAGTTCAATTCCCAGCAACCACATGGTGGATTACAACTATCTATAATGAGATCTTAAAATCTGGTGTCCTCTTCTGGCATGTAGGCATACATGCAGACAGTACACTATATAAAATAATAAATAAATCTTTTGGGCTGGAGAGATGACTCAGAGGTTAAGGCTGCTCTTCCAAAGGTCCTGAGTTCAATTCCCAGCAACCACTTGATGGCTCACAGCCATCTATAATGGTGCGTCTGGTGCTCTCTTCTGGCGTGCAGGTGTACATGCAGGCAGAACACTGTATATGGAATAAATCTTAAAAAAAAAAAAAGTCACATACCATAATTCTGTTTATGTGAAGATCAGAATCTGAGGCTGGACATGGTGACAGAAGCCTTTAGTTCCAGTAATAGGGAGGCAGAGGCAGGCAGACCTGAATTTCAGGATAGCTAGGACTACATAGAGACCCTGTCTTTAAAAATGAACAAATAAGTCAGATTTTTGGAAAGCTATTGAAACAAAGAGGTTAGGAATAGGAGACTGAGAGCTGAAGAAGACAGCCTTCTATAGGACTTCCAGAGTGATGAAAGTGTTCTAATACTGATTATAGTGGTAAATTGTAAAACTCTGAAGATACTTAAAATTGTTTAACTATTTAAATTAGGTAAAGTATATAGCATCTGAATTATGTGTTGGTACAACTTTTTAACTTCATATAGTTGCATAAGGTTGAAAACTCAACTGTTGCCTTTCTTTGAAAAATAATGAAATAGTAATTTGTTTTATCTTTATGGAGGTAAATGGAAATCAACAAGGGCAAACTTCTAAAGAAAATCGGAAGAGAAGTCATCGTCAACCTGGGAAAACAGTAAGTCTAATGATAGTGTATGGGTAAATAAAATGGGAAACATCTGTGTTCAAATATCTGAGGCTGCTGGGTATGATAACTCCTTCTTATAATCCTAGTTTTTGGGAGACTAAAGCAGGAGGATTACCAAGAGTTCAAGTTCAACCTGGCCTACATAGTAAGTTGCAGTCCAGCTTGAGCTATAGTGAGTCTCAAAAAGTAAATGAAAGATTTTCTAAATGTAAGTAGCTACTGCCCATTCCATGAGCAATTCTGTTATCAGAGGAATTTATAAAATAAAAATTTATATCAGAAAAAATATAAGTAGAATGGTACAGTAACCTAAGAATATTTAGGACATTTGAGCTACACAATTGAACAGAACTTTACAGAGACTGAAACTAAGAGATAACAAAGTTGTCATAGCCACTTTCATGAAAATATATTGTTTCCTGGTATCTTGGGAGAAAGGAAACTTTTTACTTAGACTCTGTGGTTCCTTTATATTTGGAAACTTCCTTTACTGAATCAGGTAACATATTTGTCATTTTTTAAAACACCTATATTTTAACTAGGATTTGGATATTAGTTACATTTAGAGAGCTGAAGGGCTGGGATGTTGTTTGTAGAGTGCGAGATTAGTGTTTGTGAAGCCCTAGACTTGATTTCCAAGAGCAAAAACAATTAGACAACTGAAATACTGAAACTGTTTGAAATGATGAAGTGTTAAAAAGAGGGTCTAAGCTGTATAGGTGGTTGATTATTGTTCTTTTGACTTAGAAACAGGTCTGTGTAGCCGGGTTGTCCTTGAACTCCCCAGGGAGCCTAGTGTGACATTGAATTCCTAGTCCTCCTTCCTCCATCTCCCGAGAGATGGGACTATAGGTATGCGCCACCAGGTTTATTGAGTGCTGTGGAGAGAACCCAGAGCTTCCTTCATGTTGGGGCAAGAATTCTTCTGACTGAGCTACATCCCTAACTGATATTTAAAAACAAGTAAACAAAACTTTTTTTGGGTCTTTTTAAGACTCTGCTCTCTATATAACTGCCCTGGCTGTCCTGGCACTCACTTTCAAACGAAAACTTATTTCATGTGTCTGTCTATCTTTCTATCTGTGCATTCATTCATTCATTCATTCATTCATTCATTCATTCTGTATATGTGTGTGTGGGTGTGTATATGTATGTGTGTTCACTTGCCACAGGATCTATGTCAGAGGTCAGGGGACAACTTGCAGGAGTTGGTTTCCTCCTTGTACCATCTGGGTTCCAGGGATAAGACTTAGTTTGTTATGCTTAGTGGCAAGTGCCTTTACCTACTGAGTCATTTCATCAGCTTTCCAGTTAGTTTTCAGTTACATACATATGTATGTATATACACTGCATGCGTGTGTGGTGCCTGTGGAAGTGAAAAGAGGTGTCAGATTCCCTGGAACCGAAGTTATACATGGTTGTGACCCACCGTGTGTGTGCTGGGAACTGAAGTGCTCTTAACTACTGAATGTCTCTCTAGCCTCCCAGTGATTTACTTTTTGTAAATCATAAATTATATATATATATATTATATATTATTATATATATGTAAAATATATAATTTACAAAGAAAATTACAAAGTATCTGGTGCCAAAGAAACCAGATGCTCACCTGACATAAGTGCTGGGAATGAAACCTAGGGTCTGGAGGAGTAGTTCATTCTCTTAACCACTGACCAAATCTCCAGGCTTAATTTTGCTCAGTGTTTTAAATATTGATACTTTCTTAGGAACCACAATCCAATTTGTCATTTATTCTTTAACTTTTTCCAGAAAATGAAAACTCAATAAAGGAATTTTGTTAGATATTCTCTAATTCATTCTTCCATTTATTCAGAGTTATTTACTGAAGCTTAGGGCATTGTACTTACCTTTCATTTGTGCGGGCTTATGTTTTCATCTTCAGCACTGCAAAAGAAAAAGAATACAAGAAAATGGGTACACCGAATGTCTAATTTTTACCAAGACATGGTGGGGCAGGGGTTAAGTGGGATCATGTAGCTGAGGCTGGTGTTGAACTTGTGATCTTCCTGCCTCTGTCTAGCAATTGCTGCAATTATAGGCATGAACTACCCTCTCTGCCTTAAAATATTATTTATATCTTACATGGTCCCAAAGTAAAGTGTTTTCCTGTTTTTAATTAAAATCTTTATCCCTTTTTCATTTCTCCAAATTTACGTTACCATTATTTTTCCTTCTAACTCTATTGGCAACAACTCAAATGAATATCTTACACTTATGAGTATATTTTAGCAGTTATTTATAGGTAAGTATATCAATAATAAATTGTCCTCTACTTTGAAAATACCCCCAGATATCCTATCTAGGTCAGAAATACCTATGCTGGGCTGGAGATGTAGCTCAGTCAGTAGAGTACTTGCTTAGCATGCAGGGAGCCTATGTTAGACCTTCAGTACATCAAACCATATGTAGGAGCACATTCCCGGGACCCCAGAACTGAGTACATGATGAGAGAGAAGTTCAAAGCCATGGGCCATGTGTAAGACTCTTGTCTCAAAACCAAGAAAGAAATCTTATCTTACATAATGGTACATATTATTTCTATTGAGAGACAGAAACAGACAGGACAGGGGGATCCACAGTTAGAGATATTTAACTAGAAAATCTTTGACCAGTGAGATACCCCAGCAAGTAAAGCACACCTTCTGCTCTAGCAGAGGACTAGAGTTGGTTCTTAGCACACACAGCTGACAGCTCACATACAGCCTACTATTCCAGTTTTAAAGGATCCAGCACCATCTTCTGGTATCCAAGAGTACCTGCAGTCATGTGCTTTACACACACACACAGAGTAACAAACATATACACACAGATTTTTAAATTTTTTTTTATTTAAACTGTAAAGTAAACAGTTTTTTTTTCTTTTGACAGGTCCTTCATAACTTGGAATCCTCTAGTCCAGAGACAGTGCTGAAAATAAGGAAAGTTGGTGAACCAGAGGAACATACCTAAAAGTTATTCTTGTCATGCAGATTTGCAGTTCTCAACATTTAAACTAAAAGATGCTGTATTATTATTTGAAGGTGTGCTTTCTGTAACTCTGAAAATTACTTTGTAGTTCACACAGTTATTACTCTAGTGAAAGTTTTAGCTATGTGTTTACCTGAGCTAACTCCAAGGGAACTTTTGACTTAAAAAAAAAAAATGTCATTGACTCTGCTCATTATCCACTGTGAATATAATCTGTCTTCCTTTTTAAAGAGAGATTTTAAAAAATATATATGTATTAACTTTTAAGGCCCTCTAAAGCCATTTCTAAAATGTGTATTCTGGCATTAAAATTTTGTAAGGATTCGTTTTACTTTTGTTAAAACATTTAATTGGTGCTATTAAAATAATGTTTGCTATTTTGATATAATGTGTTACTAACATGATATGTGACATGCAACTATTAAATGTGTATTTAAGGCAATAAGGTTGTTGAGGGGGCTGGAGAGATGACTCAGTGGTTAAGAGCATTGTCTGCTCTTTCAAAAGACCTGGGTTCAATCCCCAGCACCCATGGTAGCTCACAACTGTCTGTAATGCCAATTCCAAGGGATCTGACACCTTCACACTAATGCACATAAAATAAAATTTAAAAAAATTATTGAAAGCAACGACTAATAAAAGACTGGCATTTTACTAGCATCATGAAGATAGTGTGCAGGCTGTTTTGTAGCTTCTAACTTTTTATTAGCAGAAAGTGTTCAGTTATTAATTTTGAGAGATTTAGGTGAGTAGCTGAACACATTTAAAGCTTTGAGTAGTAGCATGAATGATTGCTTTGAAGAGAGACCTGGGACCTAGTCCTAGCCTTGCCATATATTTCCTTCAGAAAGGAAGATCCAAAATCTTGATCTGTTTGCGTCTCGTGGTTTCAGTAGCCATACTCCAAAATGTACAGTAGCCAGGATTATCAGAGTGCTCCGTGAGGATGTTATGTGTGTGATGGTAGGAATGTCCCCATCCTGTTCAGGGTAAACCAGGTTAAACTGGGACAGATCAGGTTTTTCTAGAGGCATGGTTACCCTCTCAGAGGCGGCGGGGAGGAGGCGACGCGGGTGTTATTTACTCCTCGCCTTATTGCTTGGGTGCCAACATTCCTCATCTACTAGTGCTACAGACAGCTATAGAAACACCTGCTACACTGAAATTGGCTCCCGGAGTCCTTTCGTGATTGGCAGCACTTGTTATTTCACAGGCTACTTTGATTGGGTGATTCCATCGGGGTGGGGCGCAGCCTTGTCCTCACGTCCACCACGGTTCCTTTATTGGATTGACCAGCTGTCAGGCTGAACCCAAACCTGCCTCCTTTTGGTGGTGTTTGTCTGGATCGCAACACAATAGTCGGGAGGGCCTCCCCTCGTACGCTCCGATTGGCTAGACTCAACCTTGGGGGTTTCTGATTGGCCCAATGAAGAAACACCAAGGTAGGTTGCCTAGTGATCCTGAGGAAGCTGATGTGTTATTCCCTCTCTGCAACGAAGGATCAGGAAGTTTGTGCTCTGTGCCCGCTTAAGAAGTTTTTCACCTACTAGTACTGGGTTCGGGTAAGGGAAACAGGTGCCCTACAAAAACTGAGTGTGACCTGCAGCCCACGTCCCGCTGCAGCTCCGGAACAACGGTAAGGAACAGAGAATAACACTTCCTAACGTCCAACAGAGCTGCTCGATGTTTTACTTTAGTAAGAGAGAAAGGATGGTTTTTACGTATTGTTGGTCATCGTGTTTTCAGAGAGGGTGCTTTAGCCAATAAGTGTTCATGGGGAAATGATGAATTCTTCAAAGAAGATTGCCTCCATTCCTCCGAGGGTGTAAAGTTTCTTGGATTAGGTTTGGAAATAACCCCAATTCAGTGCCAAATAGAATCAGTACCCCATGGTATTGTTTCGTGTTCTGTTTCTTCTTCACTTTTCTTACTTCTCACCAAAAATTATATTTGAAATGTACCCTTGTATGAGGAATTGTTTGTAGGGCACTTGATGCGCATTTCTTCTATTTTTGATGTTTAGAAGCCTTTTAATCAGTATATATTTATTGAGCAGTTAAAACGTTAAAGATATTGTGTTAGTTGCTTTGGAGAATATAAAAACTCAAGATGACAATATGCCAGCTACCCTTCAAGAAGTTTAAGTTAACATACAGCCATAACAAAAGAGGGACTATAATGAATATCTTAAAGGGAATAAGTATAAATAAATTTCTGTTAAAGTACAGCTGAGGGAGAAACCAGCTCTAAACACGGGACATACGCGTAATGGAAAGATAGAAATTCATCTTAAGGCCTTACTTGTATTTGGTAGGCCTTCAAAGACTAGACATTTGGGGAGGAAAGGAGAAGGAAAAGAACCCCTGGAATAACAAGGACCAGAGGCAGAAAGAAAACAAGACACCACTTGATAAAATTGTTATAAGGTAGAACTAGGCGCACCCATAGCACCCTCTTAAATATATTATTTTGATCTCAATGATATATAATTGCTGATATTAAATACTTGTTTTTAATAAATAAAAATTGACATTTACACCAGGCATTAGTGGTGTACACCTTTAATCCTAGCACTTGGGAGACAGAGGCAGGTGGATCTCTGAGTTTGAGCCAGCCAGGTCTACAGAGTCAGTTTCAGGACAGCCAAGACCTTTACACAGAGAAACCCTGTCTCAAACAAACAAAAAAGATATTTACATTTGTATAAAATGTGCTTGCTTTAAGCACACTTAAAGCAGATGATGTAAACAAGTGTGATGCTGAGTGTAAAAGGGTGTATGCTCTGATTTTTTCCCCACTGCTGGGAATGGCTGATATTTTCCCCCACTGCTGGGAATGGCTGTTAGGACCTTGTACATGCTAACTAACACATTCTGTAACACTGAGCCACATCCCAGCACCACTTTCTTTTGAGAATTTGATAATCCTTTAACATTCTTACTGGGTTTTGTTGTTCTTGTTGTAGCAATTTGTGTATTCACAAGATAGTCAGAACAAGGATGCTAAGTTACCATATCTGATAATCACTTAAGTGTTGTACTCCAGCCTAGTGATTTCCAAAATGAAAATGAATTCATGAAATGAGTTGTTATGGTAAAAAAAAGGAAGAAGGAAGGAAGGAAGGAAGGAAGGAAGGAAGGAAGGAAGGAAGGAAAACAAAACAAAACAAAACATTGGGCTGGAGGGTTGGTTACAAGCATTTGTTTGTGCAAAGGACGTGGATTCAATTCCTAGCACCTACATGGAGCCTCAGCACTTCCTCAGGCACCAGGCATGCTGTGTGGTATACAGACACGCATGTAGGCAAAAAACTGATATACACAAAAATCTAAAAAAGAAGAAAGATTAAAACATAGGCAGAGAGAGATGGCTTAGTAGATAAAGACAGTTGTACAAACTAAGCAGTCTGAGTTCAAGCTCCAGAATCCATGGAAAAGTAGGAGGGAGTAGACTCCAACAGTTGTCCTCTGACCTCCTTGTATGTACATAGCACAGGCTCCCACAAACACTATGCACATGCACACACAATAATTTTAAATATTAAAATGTTTATTTTTGCTATGTGTATTTTTGTGTATGTTTAATAATGTGCCATTAACTGTTTACAAAAATTATAAATTATGTGTACTCAAGAGGCCACATGCTCATGAAGTTTTACTGTTCCATCTTATTTAACTTGGGCCTAGCCTTTAAAAGCTGAGTCATCTCTCCTTGTGGAAGAGTGGAAGGAAGGATCAAAGGAGCCAGAAGGGTCAAGGACTCCACAAGACCTACAGAGTCAACTGACCTGGGCCCGTGGGGCTCCCAGAGCCTGAGCCACCAACCAAAGAGCATGCAAGGGCTGGGCCTAGGCCCTACACATATGTAGCAATGTACAGCTTGGTCAACATGTGGGTCCCCTAACAGTTGGAGTAGGGGCTCTCTCTGACTCAGTTGCCTGCCTGTGGATCCCTTTCTCCTAACTGGACTGCCTTGTCTGGCCTCTCACTTAGTCCTGCTGCAACTTGATGCGCCAGGGTGGGTGGGTGGGTGCTCTTAGGGCCCTCCCCTTCTCTGAGGAGAAAAGGAGGGAGGAATATGAGGAGGGGTTGTGAGAGTGGGACTGGGAAGAGAGGAGGGAACGAGCTGTGATCAAGGTCCTCCAGCTTTTTTATGTATTTAATCACTTTAATAAGTAATGAAGAAAAAAAGCTTGGGGACCCATTTTATAGTGATAGAATTCACTCCTGGGGAAAAAAATTAAAAAAATAGCAATAAGTTAAAAAAAATTAAAATACTTACACATACAAAGCATCTGTTCATTTAATTCGTTGATTTATTCATTGAGAGGTTATAGTTTTACTTATATAAATTTTGTCCACATTTTGTAATAGCTTTGAATTTTATTTGGGGGACACTGATGTAAATTATACTGTTTTTCATGCAAAATGCCACTTGCCTTTTGATTAATAAGAAAGGGCATGGCCTTTCTAAATAAAATCATGCCATCTATATATATATATATATTAAAAAAAAGACAAAAACGAATTCTAGGTTGTAGGATATGCCCAAGAAATAAGCACACTGAAAGGATGGTAATTTCTAATGGACTTTCAAATTACTGATGATCACTTTTCACTTGCTCTCTGTGCAATTTAAGCTGTTACACTTTGAAAAAGAGAGCATGTTATCTTGTGTTTCTGTTTACCACCTGATTCTGTATTTGATCTTCTATAGTTTCCTGTGTGTGGTGTGTGTATAGATCTTCTATGGACCTATATTTGATTATTTACTAAGGTATGCACATATTTTTCACATCCTCCACAGACAGGTGAGAATGACCACATTAACTCACCGGACCCGTCGGACTGAAGTAAGTAAAAGTTCTGAAAAGAAAATGGAAGGTGAGGAAGACACTAATCAAGAAAAGAGTCCCAGTAATGAAGACCCTGGAGACTCCAAGGATATCCGCCTCACTCTTATGGAAGAAGTATTGCTCCTGGGACTAAAAGATAAAGAGGTAATGACATTAGGTTTGCTACTTTAGCTCAAAAACACAAATCTTAGAATGTTTTAGGACATAAACTCCAGCTGTATACATTGGAGTTAGAAGGATATGGGAAGGAGAAGAATATCTGCAAGGTAAAATCCAGAAATGTAATTC